TTTTATGGTATAGTGCAAGACTCCTACAGATCATAGAATCACTGAATATCCTCAGTTGGAAGGGACTCTCAGGGATTGTCAGGTCCAACTACTGGTTCCATATAGGACCACCCAAAAATCAGACCCCGTGTTTGACAGCGTTGTCCAAACTTGTTGAACTTTGTCAGGTTCGGTGCTGCGATTACTGCCCTGGGGAGCCTGCCCCAGTGCCCGACCACCCTCTGGGTGCAGAACCTTTCCCTAACCCCCAGCCTGACCCTCCCCTGTCCCAGCTCCATGCCGTGCCCTCAAGTCCTCTGGGGATAGCGACAGTCCCCAGAGAGCAGAGCTCAGCGCCTGCCCCTCCGCTCCCCTCGTGAGGGAGCTGCAGGCCGCCATGAGGCCTCCCCTCAGCCTGCTCTGCTCTGGGCTGAACCAACCAAGGGGCCTCGCCTGCTCCTCATGCATCTTGTCCTCTAGACCTTTGACCATCTTTGTTGCCATTTTATGAGAACAGTTTTATTTGTGACATTGGATGTGCTTTGATGTGTTGAAATTGTTTGAGCTCTAAGCGCCTGACTCATGTCAGTTTAGAATTAAACTTCATTATAAAAAATTTCTTACAAAGAGGAAATTCCTAGGGGGAAAAAAAAAAAAAAAAAAAAAGGAAAACTTCCCAAACCTCATGCAGACTATTGCACAAGTTAAATGTGCTTTTCAGTATCACAGCAGCAGTTGTGATATTGGATTCTGGAACAGGGCATTCTCTGACAAAATTAGTTGAATTTATCCTACAGATTATCCTTGAAGTGTTCACCGACAAACTCATTCTTTCTTTCCCACAGTTGTTGTTCTCCTCTGGCTTGTGTAAGCCACAGCTGCTTTCTGATATAATCCCCAAAACGGGTATTGTCTTGGTAAAACAGATGATCAGGTACTTTTTGCCATCCAACTCAAAACACTACTTTAATTAAAATCAGACTTTTTTGATAATGTAATTGCTGTGCTGCTAACATAAATCCTATTGAATTCTTTAAAATTTATGGCATCTACAAAGCATTTTCAACTAAGTCTTGTTTGAGGGCTGAGGGAGGTTTCCTGAAAGCAACATGAATCATGCAGGAATTTCTGCTTGTGATGGTCTTACGCTATTATATAGAGCACTGCAGCACTTTTGTGTCAGGGAACAGAAGACTTGAAAGGTTCTGGAAAACTAGAGCTCTCTGCTAAGACACAGGCTTTGAACCTTTGGCCTCACAAATAAGGTCAGTTGGGTGGATGGATTCCAATCCACTGTGGACCTGCAGCAGTGTTAATTGAGTGTGTTTGCAGTATCCTTTCATGTTGAAGGGGTGAAATAGTGCATGGTTGAGGTGGGAAGAGTCTTGCTCAGAAGGTGTAGACCACCTGAAGCACCTAGGTGTCAATGAAACAGGCTTCATGGCTATGTCTGTATTACCAAACTGTACTGTTTAATAGAAGATGTGTATAGTAGGGGCTGAAGACTCAGCATTTTGTATTTCAACAGTTTACTTGAATATTGGCTTCTTGGTGGACTGTCAGATCTTCAAAGTTCATGTCTTCAAGCTTTACAGTGTACATGGTCTAATACAAATTCCACTAGCATTTTCTGTGGAATGCTGATCCTTCAGGTTTAAAATGAAAGTAATTAGTTAAATAGTTGGTCTCTGCTTATAGGGAAGCCTTTTAAGTAAGGTCAGAGAAAGAATTAACCTTTTTCCCTCACCACACACCACCTAGAGATTTGAACAATTGATTTTGCATAGGTAACAAATTAAAGTTTAATAGCAGTATGATGAATACACTTCAGTTTTGCAGCTTATTTCACGTGTTCTTGAAAACTGATGCTTAGGCACGTTATCAATAAGGAGTAGGTGACATTTCTGGTAATTGGCGTAAACACGGGGAATGGTTTACTTCTTTACCTTTTAACTTTTACTCCTAGGTTTTATTCGCTAGTTCTACACCAAGGTAATCCAACAGTTTATAGTGAATTGTTCCTGATCCGTCCTGATGTGGGAAGACAAAAAAGCCTCTTTGACTCAATTTCATAACAAAAACTGTAGGAAATGGTGTTGTGTGACCTCTTAGAATATCTGTCACTTTTCTCTGAGGCTTCAGTTTTGCAAACTGTCCTAACAAGCCTATGAATACAGATTTGAATATAGTGCCCCTAGCATGAAATGGAGAAAGCTTGGATATACACAGATATTCCCTGCATCGAATCTGTTTTCATGTATTTTTCTATGGTATACTGAACTAACCATGACAAAAGAAAAAAAAAAAAAGGAAACATGATAATTAGTTTTGATGAAGAGTTGCTTACAGGCTTTTAGGTATTTTAGATCTCAGTCTGCTGTACTCACGTGTGATAATGGATAATTTATTTGCTTTACTAGAGTAAGGTTTTACTACTAGAACTTCTTGTCAGAAAAAAAAAAAAAAAAAAAAAAGAATGGAAGAAGCTAAGAGGTCAAAAGAATGAAAACAGTCATGCATGCCTAACAAAAGATATGGATGCATCTCCTGCTTTTAAAACTCACAAAAAGGAGTCATCGTTTTAACACAGGAATTTTCAATACAAGTGATAGAATCTGAATTCATGCATCTTTATAGGTAGTTATTGTGTATAATTAACTATATTTTGAATGACTTGCACCAGATATATAGACCCCAATTTGAGGTATTGCTTCTGTCTGGGCTGAAGTTTTTCACCTCATTTTTTAGATACGTTTGCATGTTCTTTATATACAGTCTGTGAGTATATATGCTTTGCCTTCCAGTAAATCGAACACATAATATGGGATCCAGAAATGCCTGAATCAAGGAAACAACTACACTGGTTTTAGGCATCTGTTTTTTTTTATATTAAAATACAGGGGTTGGCACTTCTGAAAATAAAATCTTGTTCTTTTTTTTTTCAGTACTCTATGATTTTCATTCCCTTTATCAGACCAATGAGTCTCTGCTAATTTGCTCTGGTGAATGAAAAAAATCAGTATATTAATGAATCTTTGTGCAGTACCAAGTAAACCATTTTACAAGGATGGCTACTGTTTTAGCAAACTTAATCTGTTTCTCTTTTTCATCAGAGTTAGCATATCTTTAATTGTTTATGAGAAGTCAATGTTGTACCTATGTCCACAGAAATAATGAAACCATAATAATAAGAAACTTGGCTATGGCATATGCCCTGTCATTGAAAGGTGATAATAGTCCACAAAAGCTATTTTTTTTTTTTTTCAAAAAATAAGGAGCCCTATTTAGGCAAGTGCTTATAAACAAATGTCTTACAGGACTCTTTTGAAGCATCATTTTAATGGTTCTGCTTTTGTTAGAGAATTAAGTTAAAAACCATCTGCTTTCTGTCTTAGAAGCGTTGGACTAAATCCAAATCAGAAGATAGTAGCCTCGCCTGCACTGAAATAGACTTGCTTTAATACTGATTGGAATACCAAGTACCTGTAAGTGCCTCGCAGAACCTGTGAGAAGGGAGCAACGTGATGTCCTCCTCTCTTCCCCTGCTGTCTACAACTATTCTGTCTTCCCAGTCTTTCCAGTGCTCTTCCTTCTCTTGCATGTTATCCCCTCTGCCTGTGACCTTGTTTTCTCTCATGGTCACCTGTGGAAAACTTACCCTCTCCACCTTCCAGCTCACGTGGCTGCATCTTCCCCAACACTTGGTGTTCTTTTGAAAAATATTCATTGCTTCTCTCCTGAACCTCATGTCCCCTGCCACTCTTATTTAGCCATTTCTTCCCATTGACATCTGCTGTTTTTCCGTGCTCCCTTGCTTTCCCTGTACAAAACCTTCATGTAGTGTGAGACCTCACACAGCTGCACTTGTCTCAAGCCCACAGGACAAAGTCGTCACCCCAGTGCTGACATGAAATCCCCAAACTCTTTTCAAGGGCAGAATGGGGAAATTGTTCTAAAAGGAATGAAAGACAGATGGCTGTAAGTACAGCAAGTACTTACTTGCTGGAGGGAAATAAAACCGGTGCCTATTGCACTCTGACAGATTGGTTTGAAAGAGTTCTGTGCGGTTTATAATCTCCAATGTGGTAAAAAGAAACTTATTTAGCATCAGTGACTCCTCCCATTTAATCCTAGCTCTTTCAGTGGGAATAGAAGGTGTAAGATCATAAGTAGTAGCTTGGCAGCTATAAGCAACTGCCTTAAGCATCTTAGATCAATTTATCTGTAGGCTGTGTGGAAGTCACAGGATAAGTTAATACTGGATGTGAGAGACAGTTGTACCTTTCCATGATCAAAAAGGTCAGAAGAAAGAGCTTGACAGCCAGGTAGCCAATAAACATAATTTTTGCCTTGTATGGATCAATATAAGTTTGTGCTTTTGTATCTCGTTACCTTAGATGGATTAAGATACTGGATATTATTAAGATAATAAAAGTCAGTTTTGGCATCATCATAGTTGTCCTTGAAACTCTGTAGTTCACAGAGTTGGAGAGGTTCCTATTTGTAGATAACAAATGTTTCTTGAAACCTGGTTGCTGAAATGCAAGAAGATGTCTGCCCTATCAGGTATTTGTATTTTTCCCATTAGGTTTTGTATGAATTTTCTTTACTCATGATTTTTTCTATCTTCTTTTGTATTGCTTTCATTTTCTCTCTGTACCTACTCCCTCTCTTCATGTTTTGTTAATGACAGTTATTATCACAGTAGAAATAAAGCTTCCCTAGCTTTGTTCTGATTTTTTATTTTTAATCAGACAACACATCTGGGTATGCTCAGTAACTGATATTTTTGCAGTAATCTTTTTGGAATTGGGCATATAAAAGTTGGGAGACAGATTTTGCAGAATGTCAGCTAAAGCATCTTCCTCTTCCATTCAAATATCTGTTTAGTGGTAGTGAAAAAAAACCTCTAATTGCCTCTTTCTAATTTAAAATGGCCTGTAGTTTATTTTCCTCCTCTTCTCCCACTTAGAGCAGCTGTGGTCTATTAGGCTCTCATCCCTCCCTGCCTTTGTGCTCAATAGCTCCGTTATGATGGGGGGCTTCCAAGAAGTAGCACTGCCTCCTTTTCACAGCACCTGAAAAGAAATCCTGTTCTACGCGGCTTAAGCTTTGCTTCCATTTACGTGATTGTAAATGCAGAACAACTGCAAAGGAGTCAGTCCTGTCACTGTATTTATACTGGGGTAGGAAGGTGGTCAAAAAAAAGCCCAAGTTTGCCATTTAATCTCTATAATCTCTATACACTCTGTAAATTTCATTGTCAGGGTGATATTCTCTTTCAGGTTGATTTTAGCCAATAATCTGAGGCCATTTCTGTTGTAATAATTCCTGTTCTGTGACTTTATTGTTGCATGCTTTGTTTCATCATTGAATATTTTTGTGGACAGGATGTCTTTAGGATAAATTGTTTTCATTTAATATAAAGTATTCCCAGATCTTTACTTTTTCAGCCTATATGCAGTCTGTATTTTGAATACTTCTTTTCTTTCTTTCTTTTTCTTTATATTGCATCGACTAATGTCTTATTATGGGAATAAAGTTGTGTAGTTTAGCTTTGTCCCCTTCTGATTGAACCCCTGCTGTAATATCTAGTGGGTTTCATACATCTCTTCTCAGCACTAGGCCTACATCTGCATAATATATATTTACCATTAAAATGTTAATATTAAATATTGATTAAAACACACTGTTGTCTGAAGTGTGTGTGTCCCAGCACAGCAATTCTCTAGCGCCTGCATGTAAGTACTTGTATTTTTATTTCACAGTTTTCTGCAATGAAATCCTGATGGTCACTTATGATGAATTATTTTAATTGCACCATGATAGGTAACACGACGTTGCTTTAAATCCCACATCCAAATAGAGGTCTCTTGCTCTGCAGAGTCTCTAATAGAAATGTAGACATTTGTTCAACTGAGTAATGGGGTAAGATCAAAACATCCAGAACAAATCAATATTAGAGACAGTCCAACATCACCTGGAGATACGCTCTTCACTGGAAAAGGCAACATGAAATGAGTCACTCTTTGGGTGGCTTTCTTTTCCCTTGTTTATTGGATGTGCTCTGACCTCTGAGCTGCTGTTGTTGTTTGTTCACTTGTTTGTCTGACTTTGGGATTCTTTTATCTGTTATTAGAAGATGGAGCTTATCGTCATAAGCCCTAAATGGCTAAAGGTGAGTTACCCCTCAGGGTAGAATTTAGCAAGTTACAGTGGCTGGAGACAAGGAGGTTTGTCTTTTCCACAAAGGGATGGATGCAGCCAGAACAACGTGAAACAGCACTTTCATTTGGGCTCTAGCTAAGAAATGAGAAGCGGTCATATTAGTTAGACCAAATGGCTTGAATCAATTTTAATGCGGCTTTCATCTTGTTTTGCTGCAGGCAGACCCTCTATGAGTGTTTCAGTTCCCAGCACCAATGCAGAACACGCACCTGTCTCCTCTTCCTGGAAAACAAGAGGTCAGGCTGGGATGCAGACATAAAAACTCCTCTTCCCTGCACCACTGCTCTCCTGAAAGCAGTTTGGTTTTCTTCTCATTTTACACAATCCACACGAAAATTTATTTTAGACAGGTTTTTTATTTTGCTTGATCACTCTGTATGTTCTGTTGTTTTTTTTTGTTTTTGTTTTAATAGCTGTGCCTAGTGATTTTTGCCTGAATCTAATTAATGCATTTGTGAGGTGCTAGCTATTGTAATAAATAAATAGATGGCAACCAGCAGTGTTGGTGTAGGAGAAGAGATGAGGCTTGCTATTTCCACAAGCAGCTCTTGTTTGTTACTTCAGGCTATAAATTGAGCATAGGGATTAACATACAAGATGAGATCAGCATTTGAGGTGCTCCGGTATTCTCTCTCCTTACGCCCTTGTAAGCCTGGACACTTCACAGGCGATCCAAAATGCCTATGGTGATTATAAAGTGATGTGGGCTTCAGTGTTTTTGTTGTTGTTGTTTTTTTCTAACCTCAGTGATCAAGGTTGACTAATTATCTGAAAAACATATGGTTTATGGCCCATCAAACTTATGGAGATTGTGTTTTTATTTTCTTATTTATTTTGCTTATTTTTAGCGTCCTTTTGGATGTTCTTGAGAACCACAGAGAGAGATCTATTTTTAATACCCTCACTGGGTATTAAAGGTGTGTTTGGTGGAAGAAGTACTTTGCTTCCAAAAGCCTGCATGCTGTTATTTGTAACTGGAATATTAAAAACAACAGGCTTAGAAATATTTCAAAGTTCTCTAGAGAATGGAGCCTGATTCTGGAGGCTGATGGCCAGATTTTGCTACCAGGTATGAAATAAATCAGGAGTAATTCCATTGAATGCAGGGCCGTTACTCCAGCATAACCAGGAGCAGAATGCGACCCTCAGTTTAATTCCTGAAATGGCATCTGGATTTATTGGAGCTATGCACCTCTGCAGGACCTTTCCTGCCTTTGCTGCAGCGGCAGCTTGATGTAAATCAGATTTCCTTGCAGCTGGGAAGAGTGCTGATTATATACGAAGCTCTAATAATGTTTTCTGGAGTTTTGTGTTCCTGGGATCAGCTTAGGCAACCTTATCCTTCTGCCTGTGACCCGAAGTAAGAGAGAAGTGTTTTACAGTAGTAATAAAGAGATTACATTAGATGAAGTTATTTTCAGTAGCTATATCAGGAAGATTGAGAGTCAATTATCCTGGTCAGGTTCATCTTTAGGACACAAGCAAAGAAGAGGGCTGAGTCATTTATACAGTACTAGAAAAAAAAGATTTAAAGATACTGTGTTTGCACTAACTACTTGGGCCTTATCAGAGGGGATAACTCCTAGTTAGGTCACTGCTCATATTTTGGGAGCTGAAGTCAGTCTCTTTTGGAGCACTCCTTGATCTCTTGGTCTGTCTTACTCAGCAGAAATAAAACAGGCTGTGTGGCTTTTATCACCTGTGGCAGTGAATATGTGGTAGGAAAAACAGCACTGAGGCTCCCAGTAGTATTCCTGGGCTGTGTTTTGCAAATTTCTTGTATGTCGTGAACTCTGCTTTGGCTGATTTCAGAAAACTTTCCAATGTACTCTGCTGACCCTGAAGGCACTCTCACAGATGCATGTAAGTTGTGTATATACAATTTCTGTAAGGGAAGATTATAGCTCTTTAATAATAATTACAAGGCTTGGAAGACTAGCTTTCCAAAAGTAACTTTTGCTATTTAAGAGCCCTGGCTTTTTTCAGTGGAGGACAAATGTGTACTGCTATATCTCTTATCACGTTTTTTTTTTTTTTTTTCTGCAGAGGGAAATGTTGCATGAAGAGAGGCCATATGCAACGACATGTCAATCTGCTACCTATTTTTAAATATTCACATAACCCCCACTTATTGGAAAGAAAGATGTCTATTCTGAGAAAGTGACAGCTGAATCAGTAACCTCTGCCTCTCGCAATTACAAGAAGCTGATGATCAGCTGGCGGATGGGACTGTGCAGTTGGAAGGTAAGATTTGTGAAGCACTGCGGATGTAAACTCACTGAAGAGCTTCTCAGTATGTGCCCTGGTTACTCTGTCCACGAGACTTTGTCTGTGTTTTGGCACCCTTTAGTTATCTTGTCAGGCAGCTGCTTCCTTCTCTGTGTTCCTCTGTGCTTTTATTGCGTTTTTTGTATGTTAAAATTTTGCCCTCTTTGGAGCACTGAACTGTTCTCAATCAAAGTGATGTGGAGTGTTTGATTTCTATTTGACAGAATGATAGAAATACAAATCCTTCCAGGACGCAGTGGCGTCAGGGAAGCATTATTATGTTTTCAGCAGCTTATGATGTGCCTGGAAACATACATAATTTTTCTTTTCTACTCCTTTTCCTTCCTTACTGGGGACAGTAAGGCACTTATGAATTGGGTTGTTTATAGTGAGGAGATTTCAGTCAAGTTTTACTTCCTCTTCGCCTTGTGTGAATTGGCAGGTGACTGCCTTTATATACTGTCTTCTGGCACAACTTAAAATGGTCTGATTATCCAAAGCATGAACCTAACAAGTGTAACCATCACTTGATCTGTCATTCTGAAGTGAGCATGTCTAATTACAACCCAACGTTTTATTCTGGTAGCATTGATTCACCAGAATTGATAGTGTTTCGGTAAGCAGTACCTCTGTCTTCAGTCTCTCTACTCAACAGCCACTTCATCTTAGCAGTAGCTGTTGAACTCCTAAGGTAGCTGCCCTTGAAAATTTAAGGGAGGGGGCAACAACCCTCTAAAACTGGCATTAACTTTACTTTGGAGCAGCTCACTGGTTTTGGTGAGCCTCGGTGAAATTCATCTACAACTACACCTGATGGGGAAAAGTCATGGAGTGGATCAGGGTGTTTTTCTGTTGAGATCCAGAACCTGAATGTGATTTACCCCTGCTCTGCTTCTGTCCAGCCAGGCTGCTCTGGCGGTCGGTGTGGCGGTCGGTGTGGCATCCTATTAGTATGTTTACGTGGTTCTGTTCCTAGCTGTTGTAAATCAGAAGCTGTTTCGCTGAACTTCTTACTTGAGCTGTGCGATACCAGTGCAGATGAGGAAAGGATTCTGCCTATTACATGGTCTCATTGGATGTCAGCAACAAATTCCTGTTTGTTGGCATATAAGTACCCCAAATCAAGCTGCAACTTGAGTGAGAATTTCTTTAAATAGCTTTACTGATTAACAAACAATATCAAGAAAGAGCAAGGATTCCCCCAAATTTTTGGTGTTTCTCTGAAGATATTGTGAGGGAACAGGTGACTGGAGAATGGTTTCTCCTGCCTTTGAAAGGGCTTTGGTGTGCCTGAGACAACTGGCTGCCCATAACAGTGGATGGCAGACCCACTACACTCCCAGGTAGTCTGAAAAATCTGGGTGCCTCTGCAAGCTCATTTCTGGCAAGAGGTAAAAAAGGTCTCATTCTTTTAAGTACATGTCCTGTTGTCTAGCACTGATTCGCAAGGCTGCTCTCTCTTCTGCCCATTTTCTTCCGCTACTGAAGCGTGGAGCCTTGTTTAGGGAATTTTCTTCCCTTTCTTCACCACTGAGTTGTTTAGCTGGCTGTCAGAGCAGAGCTGTTCCTCTGCTCAAGACAAATTGAATAGAGGTAAAACAGCAAAATTAGGAGACTGCTGTCTGACATTTGGATGGTGGCAGGGTGCTTCAAATTCCTGGCATGACTATGCAGGGTTAAAAGAGCTTAAACTTAAAAACAATGAAATGTGCATGCTTCAGGGGCTTCCTATCTACTTATCCTGTCTGTGAGGAATTAATAAGTTAGAAGCATTCAGCTCAGAGTGGTGGCTTGGTTGCATGCCTTTCATTATGTAGCTGAAGCATGAGGAGACTGTAGGTTGATGTATTTTGCACAGACTGCATCTTATGGACAGGCAGACTTTTCTTTTGATGCACTTTCTTTAATCCTCTGCACTCCAACTCATCCAGCAGGTGATAAACTGTACTTGTCTGTTATGGTAAAAATATTATGCTTTCATGTGCTGACTTACCACTGAGGTCTCCAAATGTTTTGTCAACCTTTTGAGTAAGATGTTGTGAAGTAAATGTCTTTATCCTTACTTCCTACTTAAAACAAATGGAGGAAGAAATGGATGAATTGACTTGGCCAAGGTCAGTGTGTGAGTTACAAGGCCTAGAGCTTTATTTGGCACCCATTTATAATTATACATAGCAGTAACTCTTTCAAAATGTTTTTGTTTCTTTTAGGAGATTATCACCATTTTCATCTTAATGCCAGTTTTTGTTTGTTTGTTTGTTTTTAAGAAAAGCAGCAGGGAGATTTTCAGAGAACCTCCATGCACCTAATTCCCCGATTGCTGGATTCCTCAGCAGTTTCTTGATTCCATTCTTACATGTCTTCTGACTTCCCATCTTTCTCCATCTTCTTCCCCTCGGCCCTGATTTTCACCCCTACCATCCAGCCCATCTCTCATTCCTCTGTAGCTTACAGAAAACAAAAGAAGCAGGATATCTAACTATAATGTTTTAGTGCTTGTCCTTTCCTGGCTGTCTTTGCTCTTCTACGAGGACTTCCTAGTGTATGTGGAAAAGAGGCCAAGGCAGGGGAGTAAGGAAACATGCAGGTGCAATTTCCTTGCCAGACGAACTCAGTGATTTTGGATGACTGGAAGGCAATTACTATGGATTCTCTTTCGGTTTGCCAAAGTGCTTTGGCTGAGTTCAAATATCTGTGTCTAGTTTCTAGTCCCAAATGGGGAGCATAACAGATTTAGAGAATCTGCATATTAAAAAAAAATAAAAATTACAAGACATACACAGATAATTCATGAAGGTAATTTTGAAGTGCCATTGGCTTCTGCATTTATTGCAGACAATTCCATAGTTGATGTTTCATGAATTTTTAGTGTTGATGTAACAGTTTTCAACCTTCAAAGCAACTTTAGGAATAAAATAGTATCTTAAACCACCTCCAGAATACACATCCAGTAATAAAAAAAAAATAATAAGAATTTTCACCTATAGAAGAGGGAAGTACTTTAGCTATTCCATACTGGAAGAACACAGTTTGTGGTGGAAGGTGTTTTGCTACTCCTGTCATAGGCAGAAACATAAAAAGGCAGAAATGAGTAGCTCCCTCAAAATGAAGGTGGCCTGCACGACACGGGTTCGATAAACTGCCCAACTGGTAAGAAGGAATTGATAGGTGCAGGATATTTTATGACAACAATGTTCTGGTGTGCCTGTAGTGAGAAATGTAAGCATCTTAAATGCGAAGGTAATGTTGCTTAAATAATTTGTGTGTTTCTGCATGTATCTGTTTGCACAGCAGCAGCAGTTATTGGAACTGATGTTAGATATTTCTGGTGTTTTCATTTGGGGTAGGGTTTTGCTACTTGTAATTTTTTGATATGATGGCATTAGACGTTTCTCAAGCATGTGCCAAAACAAGCAACCTGATAATTGCTTTTTTGCTTTTCCATTGTTCTGTGCTATGGTAACTGCTTTAATGCTTTGTGTGTTTGCACTGACTCATTTTTCTCTTTTTTTTTTTTATTTTTTTTTTTTAGCGTAAAAGTTACAGCCATCTGATAGAGCACACTTGCATCATTCAGCAAGGCTTTGCACCAGTATTTCTTGCACAGCATTTCTGAATTAATATTTATATAGCTGTGATCATCTAAAATAGTCTGTACCTATGTATTTTTGCTCAACAAGTTACTAGAAGAACACTATTACAGTCGAGAAAAACAAACAACTTGGCGTTCCTGGAAGTAAAATATTTATAGAGAAAAAGCAGGTGTGAAGTCCACTGGCAATTCTTAAAGCAGCGAATGAAACACATAAAGCAGATGAGTTTTACCACTATCTCTGGATGCTGTTCAGGGGTGCTGCTGACAGCAGTAACACTCAAAGTGCTCGTGGCTGTGTTTTGCCAGAAGGTGGGAGCTCCCCATGTTCTGCTTGGTGTGCACTCCCAGCCTGTGCAAGTTCCTCAGAACAGTCCCCTGCCAGAGCCCTCGTATTACAGCTGGGCTCTTCTTCAGGAATTGTGGCTTCTAGGTGCTGAGTTCAGTGCTGCTGCTGCTGCCTCTTTCTGTCTTCTGTATTCCCAGACAGGATGCTCCTGTGGTCATAGGTTAACTGAGTGGCTGTCTCTGCACATGGGGAATCGTGGAAACCGTGGAGGTGTTGGCACGCTGTTGCATGTGTGAAGCACAGCCATCGGGAGGTGGGGGGGACTGGCCTGAGCACCTGTTTTCATTCTTGAAATATCAGTCTGGAGAGAGCCTCAGCTTTATGTCCTGAGGCCAAATTTTGTTCTGGCTGAATTTGCGCAGCTTCATTGGCATCAAAAGAGGTATGCAGATAGGTGCCAGAATGGGATCTGATATCTACAGCCATATCACATTAATATTAGATACGTGTTGTCTATTAGAGTATACTCAGAAGTTATTTTCCATCTGATTGAAACCTTAGAAAATGCTAGACTTTAAATATTCTGTGATGGATTTAATAACACTTTATCATCAAATGTCTTCTCTCAAATACTAATCATGGCAGAACAAAAAGTAAAGCAAACCTGCCTACAAATTAGTCTGTATGAAGAAATCTGTTCAATTAATAAAACTGAAAAAGAATCTAGGAATGTGGGATGAATCAAGAGGACTGACAAGTTCTTCACCTCCTCATCACTGGTTTTAAGTCATGGGGAAGGTGGCTATTAGGTGAGATGGATACTTTGCTGGATTTTTCCCTGCTCTTTGCTCTATCGAGATATCAGCATTAGAAGAGATTTGGATCAGATCTGCTTATGAGAGAAGGAAGTGAAAATGGTGAAAATACTTAAGGCAGTCTGGGGGTGCAACAACCAACAGATCTTCGTCACCTCTGTCCCCTGACAAGTAAAGCTAGTTCACCTAAAATAAGAGAGAAGAGCAGCAGCTTGTGAGTTCAGCTTATTAGGTGGTAAGTGATGCTCACACAGGAGGGCTGGGGAGCACACGCCAGGCCTCCAGCCTCCACAACAGTGAACTGAAAGGATCCCATCTGCAGGTAGCTGGAAAGTTGAGGAGGAAAGGCCTGCCCCTCCAGTCTGTGTTCTTGGCACAGGGTCTTGTTGGGTACAGGCTTTGTATTTATTTGGGTTATTGGCAGATTTCCCCCAGAGAGAGCAGATCGATCTTAAAAATCCACTTGAGAACAGCAAATGCGTGGCACTGAGCTCCCATATGCTCCCTTACACAGCAATGTTCAGCTCTACAGCAATGTTCTGCACTGCTGTATTAACACAGCTGAAAACTGTAATGGATGGTCCAATGACTACAGGGTGGTGGTAGCTGTTTATAACAAGCACTTATGTGCTTAACGTGATGTAATTGTTAACATAAGATGTCTACACAGAAATAAATCCACTTATTAAAGTGTCTGGGAGAACTGGCCAAAAAAGAAATACGATTTTCAGCAAAGCTGCTTTTTTGTTGTTTTTGTTTTTCAGAAAGCAGATCTGCTGCTTAGCAGACTCAAACCTCCTCAAAGAATAGCTTAAAATAGTAAATGCCCTCCCCGTATAGACCGAAAATCTCTACTAGAAGTCACTGACTGAGCTAGCATCCAAAGGACATAAATTTGATGTACATTTCCTTCTTTGTCATTTAAGAGCATCTCTTTCTATGTTAAACGGGGGTGGCTGATACAGAAATTACTCTGATCTTGTTTTCTAGCTCCATCTATCACTTCAGACATGACAAGGAGCTCAGGCTAGCAGTGCTTGGAGGAAGGGAAGTACAAGATTTGAAGATCATAACCCTGTCACATTACAGTTCATGGTGAGGTTGGCCATTTATACAAATTCATTCAGATGCTCCTTTCAAGACATATTTATTGTATCATACAAAACTGGCCTACAAAATGCTTGCTCAGAGCAAGATCAGAAGATTATGTATATCTTCCCCTGGGATACTTACAGAAAACAATTCCTATGGGCAAACGGAAGATTTGTTTTCTGGCTTATTGCAGTATAAACAAAAAAAGCTACATATAATAAGAAAAAAAAAAGGATAATATATATTTGATGTAAAATTTGAAATGGTGTTTGCTATTTCAACAGAAAATTTCACTACTTCTCGCTTCAAACTTAAGTTTTGGTTAATGGTGATGAAAAAATGATGTATGAAAATGGACAATCAGTGTTTACTACAAGATCAGCAAAGCCTTAGAGAGCATTCAATCCTATGCAAAAATAAGACACCAATAAACTTAACAAAATACGTGATGAAAAGTGATGCATATATATACATTAAAATGTGCTTTCCAGTTGCAGAAGAACTGTCATAAATTCAATTTCTGCCTTTGAGTTTAGGATCAGACCTTTAATCTTAAGCCAGAATTTGAGCCATACAATTTGAATGAAGTGATTCCTCAGTAAAATGATTACATTTTACTGATAGTCGTCGGAATCATCCAGTTAAAGATGCCAGCAAAGGGGATTAGTATCACAGTGATGAAAGGTAATGATGGTGCTGTGTCTGGGTCCAGGTGCCTTCAGAGAAATGTATTTTATTTTTATTAAAAAAAAAAAAAAAAAGGCCAGGAAAAAAAAAAAAGAATAATAACAGAACCCTGTTGTTTAATATAGGTGAAATGTTGGCTGAGTCGAGCAGATCAAACATTGATTCTAAAGGCAACAGAATGTTGTCAATAGTAAACATGCTGGGAAATCCGTTTCCAAAAGTTTCATTACCAATGAAGGGTTGACATGGGTATAGCAGTTCTTGCTAAAATGTCTTATTTATCTTCAGTGGTTCCTTGCACTGCTGGAAGGAAGCTCCAGGTTCTCTCTTCTTCTGGCATAACTGGATTATTGCGAGAATTAACCTGTCTACGGATTTTGTATTATTTATGTGAATCAATACACCATATTTCTTAAAACCAGAGAGTGCAGCAGAGCTGGTTATAAACCTTATTAAAATCTGACCATTGTCATCAATTGGCAATTCATAAAATGATCTGTTAAAAAATCATAACCTGTAGTCTGTTGTGTCAAGAACTTTCCCCTGTTAGATCCATGCAATTTCAGTACAGCTTTTTCTTTTGTCTGTTCATATGCAGGCATAACAGTTAACGAGTGATAATTTGTAAACAAGAATATGTATTGTGCAGATAAATAGACTCCCACTGTTGAACAAGTCCTTAGCAGTTTGCATTAAAAATAAATACAGATTGGAAACTGGAATACAATATTTATTTTAACAGCAGGACTTTATCACTGGTAGCGTTCCCTGATGTTTTCAGGATTAAATAAGCAGTTTTTAAAATAGATTCAGTAGTCCAGAAGTTTGAAACAGTTTAAAACTTTTGTTAATAACAAAGGGAAAGATGATAACAATCAGCAGTTCTTCACAATATCAAGAAATAGCATCTGCATTAACTGACCGAGAATTGCCAGTTACGTGCAGTCACAGGTCTGTTTACCCACTGACAATTGCAGACATAACAAGTGAAAGAAAGTAGTCACAAAGATTTCCACTGATCTCAGTACACTGAAAAATACTGGGGAAAAGGTCTTTCTTCAAGACACAAAACAGATCTGGAGTCCATACTCTATTAAAAATTCAGAGGAAAGAAGTGTAGCTATCATTACGATGTTAAATATTTCCAGTATGTACTTTTCATTAATTCAGTAAGTGCTTAAAAAAAAATCTTGTCAAAAGTTCCAAAAACTGTGAAGTTTTCTTTACTTTCCTGAGAGTATCACATCATAAAACTTGCCTTCAACAGCTATTCTCAAATTCTAGACTCAGTCCTGTTTCCCCCACTGTCGTTGACGTGCATTAGGTGAGAGAAAATATGATGCTCAGGGGATCAGTACTGGTGAACAAAACAGTTAAGCTCCAAGTTCTAGATTCGAGCCAAGCTTAGACCATAGTGGTCTTGTGAAGAGCTATCAAATAGTAACGAGAAAAGCAAGAACAGAGTGAGAAATGTTCACAAATATTCTTTTGAATAAAATTGTAGTTTTACTTTCTTTTTTGATCCACTTTTGCTTTTAAAGCATTATAGTAAAAAAAAAAAAAGAAAAAAAAAAAAAGTAAGAAAAATGAAAGCATTGGAAGCACTTGGACAAGAACAAGTTTGACTATGTCCTGAGTTCACAGTGAGTGTACACTGTCAGCCCACCTATTTAAGCATGCTTTGTCTTGCTCAGGCATCTAGTTAAGTCATTCCATGATTTGGGCTACTTGTCATACAGCAAGAACTGTTAAAAGTCTGAATACCTCAAATATTTTGGGGGGAGGTCATGTATTGCAATTGGTTTTTGAAATAGGTATGATCTATAGTGCTGAATGGAGACAGAATTCAGGGTGACTGACCAAAAGCAAAGCAACATCAGAGGAATAAATCCACTGAGTAAGTTCCCCATTGCTGCATCCACCCCTGCATTAAGGAGATTGAGTCCATTTCTTTGGAAAAAAAGTTAAGAGAAATACTTGCAATTTCATTGAACTCATATTCTACACAAACTCCAGTAACTCAGATATGGTAGTACTTTTAATTTGCACTGTCTGACCTTGTGAGGGAATAGGGTATAGCTGCTGTTCTCCTGTACCTTTTTATACTTATCAAAAAGGCACTGCAACCTTTTATATCAGTATTTGTTCCTTGACCAAAATTTTTCATTCTGGAAAGAAAAAAAAAAAAAAGGGGGTGGGGGGGAGCAGTTTTTAACCAGCTCACTTTACTGCAGTGCAAAGTGCTGAGATATGTATCTTGGAAGTTGTAGGGCTAATGGAATTTAGCAACATGAGAATTGTTCAAAATTTGGCCATTCTTATCAGAACACACCTAATTGCAAGCCTATGTCTTACAAACAGGAGACATAACTTACTGCAGAAGTGAAGATTTTTCCTTGGAAACCTCTGAAAGAAATCTCTGCTGCTTCCCAGTTGAGAGCTATTCTACAACACCAAAATCATTCCAGAAGGTTTAGAGTTGTAATTTGTCAGACCGCAGTTGCTCACCAGAAAAGGAATGAGTCAAGGTAAGTCAGAGCTGCTGACTGGGATCCCACATGCTTCAACCTTTCTTACTATAAGGTGACTTCTGGAAGTAATAACATTGGAATTGGACTTTTCACATCCTGTTTATCATTTGCCTAATAGTTTGTCATTTATATGTGCTACTAAGGACATGCATATGCTTAACCTACCTGCCTATGGCTTACAAAATCTTGATTTTGGTGAAAGCAGACTTCCCAGGCATCTTTTTATCTCCAGTTCACACTGAACAGTCAGGGTAAATTCAGGCTTAACAAAATTGTTTGAGGGGCATTGACGTTAAAGATCTGCCCAGAAAACTTTGTTTTGGAGTGTAGCTGAGCAGTGAGTGTTGGGTTGCCCACTGACCATGGGGTTGACCAGAAGCTTGCAGGAGGACAGGACAGAGAAACTGAGTAGTTCAGTGTGGAAGAGATGGATTTGGAAGGACTCTAAGTCTCAGCTTTGCACAAAGCGTGGGGGACTGAAAGCAGGGAACTACATGCAATTGTTCTGGTCAGGTCTTCCTGACTGTGGCTGTGTTTTGAGTTTTCTGAAGGAAGTGTAATTAAGCTATGCTCGGGTGCAGAGCATTAGGAGACAGCTGGGCAAGGCATCAAAAGAGGCCTCCTGGCCTGTGAGCTGCATGTACCTAGCTCTGCTTGCCTGGGATATGCTGGAGGTAGGCCTGAGTCCAGCCAGGTACTTGGCTGATCCCAACCTTGCCTTGCTGACTTAACAGCCTGACCTTAGACCTGCCTTATCACAACAGACTTGCCTGTTGATTGGGCTCAGTAGATGTTGATTACAGTCATTGAACCCACTCTGCTTGTCTTGTTTGGCTGCTGTGGCTTTTGGCACCTGATGATTAGGTCTCAGCATCAAACCGTGTGTTCCTGGTTGAGCAGTGGCCCCCACCGCAGCCTGGTGAAATGAAACACAGTGAGTAGGAGATAACGTGTTTGAGGAAGAATGAGATCAGTTTTTGAGAGGCTAGAAACAGTTGTATTACAAAGCTATTTTGTGGAGAAATAGATTTTCTCTGCCCAATAAATTTGCCACAAGGGATGATAGAAATAATCCTATTAATGTGAAGCCTCATAGGCCAACAGAACTTTAAAAGACCAGGCATCCGTGGAGGCAGACGTATCATAACTGGGTGGGCTTGGACACGAGGTATTGACTTGGGTAGTGACAAGGCAGGGCTTCATCTAAAACCAGCAGAAATGTTTCTGCTAACACGACTGAGGGGAGGATTTTACCCTCTAGAATTCAGCAGATGCATATGTTTTCAGAAGGCTAAACTATAAGGCTTTCTCTTTTGTTCTTACTATTGCCGTAGTAAAGTGCAACATATGGTTAAATTTTCTGTTGGAATATGTTAACGAATGCAGACACTTGTGATAATTATACTTCTTTATCCAAACTCCCTGATTTGGCAAGTTGATCTATCAGCATTCTGGGGGATTGCGAAGATTTATTTATTTATCTTTTTTCCTTAGTGCTCATCGTATATGAAGTATTTCGATTGGTTGGCAGAAAGTGCAGTTAAACATTTCAAAATGTTTAATTCTGAATTAAACATTCTGAACTTTTGAAGACATTCCTTTCCTTTTTTTGTTGTTGCATTTCTTTTTTTGAGTGATGTGTGCACTGTTTTGATTTTATTTATTTAATGGTAGCACAAATAAGTTTAATCCTTCATTTAGATGATACCAGCTGTCCATTGTGAATGTAAATGATGAGCCAGTGGAACTGTGTGGTTGCCTTGAACAAACATGTGAAAAAGAAATGTGTTGTTGCACATTGTGCAGGTGTCTCTGTTGTGGGAATCTCTTTACTCAGAGGGTATTTAGTTGATATGTTGTACAGCTGGTCAAAGAATGCCTTTAGGCAATTTAAAAGTTTCCACAGGAAATGAAATGCTTTGATGGAGTTTGCTGCAAAACATTATTTTGTAAAATCCGGATAATTTTGACAGTCATCGTCTTAGACTCATAATGAGATCTCTTCCTCTTGTATTCAGTTTCCTTTTCTTTTCTTCTTTTTATGACATTTATACAGTACACTTCAGAGTTTTTTTTAAACAGGGATAGACTATTTTTTTCCTCACATGGCAGGATGAATGTAGACAGTGTCTTTTAGTTTGTGGCTGGAAACCATACAGAGGGATACTAGGTTAAAAGGTGGTGTGGACTCTCTATGGTGTGAAGATAGTGAAGGAAAAAAAAAAAAAAGGTGTTGTCAATTCTGCTCAAATCTGTGGTTCAGGTGGACTTGTGACTACCTTGCTGCAGTCCAGAAAGCTTTCCAGCTTGTCGCTGCTGGTTGTGGAAGGTTTGCTCTTTTTCTCCTCCCTGTTTGTGATTACTTTTCAGTCCAGTCATGATTTATCTTTATCGCTACAGGACTATTGTACTGCTTAATACTATCTGTCTAAGAAGACTGGCCTAGTCCATGGAGCATAGACTGCGGACTCAGTCAGTCTAGCTGCGCTTCATCTGTGGATTTTTTGTCTTAACACCAGTGATTTAGTCATTCATTCATTAAAGAGACAGGGAAGCTCTGGGTGTTTGTTTGTTTTCTCTGAGTGATACTGTGACAATTAGCTGTCAGCTTTGGGTTACACCATTCAAAGGGCTGATAACCCACAAAATGGACAAAATGTAGGCCTTTGATCTGCTTGGGATGTGCAATTTTCTTTTGCTGCTGCCAGCTCCCATCTTTCTCTGTCCATATTATCAAAAAGGCTGGAAATAATTTTTTTAATCTTTATGGAAATTTCAGGTTTTCAGCACAACCTAGTCTTAGGAAGAAAACATAAATTTGCAATAAGGTGTATGTGACCAAGAACATGCTTTTAATGCAAAATCACTTTGTGAAGCTTGACTATAGTCATTGCCTGTACTTAAGTACTAACAAAAATGAATTGCTTGCACTATTACCTGTAGTGTCGTTACAAAGTGAATGCTATTTCTTTCCTTAAAGCTTTGTACTCCACAAAATACTTTTTATTTTTCTTTCTTTTTTTTTTTTTTCCTAAAAGCCATTTCTAGATTCCTATTCCAAGGGTGCTTGGAACATGGCAGTTTAAAAGACGTATGATACCAAATAGTAAGGGGGTTCTGCAGAGTAGGATTTCTGTTACTCTAGTGGGAAATGTACACTCAACTAATTACAAATGCACTCGGAGGACTGCAGATTAAAGTAACAGTATATTCTTTCCAGCTCCAATTTCATCAGAATAATTAAATACACCTTCAAATCCTTTTGTATTCAGCAAACTACTAAGTATGTTCTTAAGAGCCATTGAGTTCCTAGCATCTTAAATGCATTCTTGAAGTTAAATATATTTAATAGGAAGAAGTTTGAATAGAAAGAAATCTGAAATAAATGCCTGAGTTCCTCACAGTCAAAGCTCTCAAGCAACTTAACTGAGAGCAAGTTGCTTAATGAGAAGAGTGCAAAGCATGAAATCTTAGTGACTGAGAAGAAAAGAAGTTCCCCAAACAAGTAGCACTGTCAAAACTTTAAATACTAAAAAAAACCTTTCCGTCCTTCTTTAGTCTAACTCTAGTGGCAAAACATGAGCCATTTGAAGGAACTGTAAGAGGAGAGAAGGCTGACGTAAGGAAGAGGCAGTAACTGTGTCAAATTGTTTAACTTCTGATGTAAGAAAGCATATGACTGCACAGGGATATTTTCTTTAGCATCATCATTCAGTGTGTAATTTAATGGCATATGTTTTATGTTGGTGCCCTTTGACTGAAACCCAATGATTCAGTTCAAAATAGAGCAGCATTCGAAAGCTCACAATATTAAAATTCAAATTGAATTCAAGAAAGGTGAGGCATCCAGTTGGGTGATATAGATGACTTCCCACATAACCTCAGGTTTGGAATGCAGTATTTTTCTGTGAGTGAAGGCTACATAGAAAAGGAAAATCCCTATATTTGTGTGGAACCTAATGAACTCTGACTGGAAATACCAAGCTAAGATGGGGAGAGTTTGTGGGAGCTGCACTTAATTCTCAGGGGTGTAAAGGAGGAGAGGAAACGTCACTCTCTCTCTCCAAAGTGGTTCTAGTTCAGTATGAAAGCCCAGCTTGACCTTGCCTCATGTGGGGAAATAAGATGACATAAGCAGGATTTTCAGTGTATTGTTAGGCACTCAGATACGTGAGGAAGAGAAAGGTTATGCAAATTAATGCTTTTTTTGACTTTTTTTTTTTTTCTAGAGTGCTGACACAAAACACCGATGAGGTTTGTTGGGGGGTGTTTTAAATTAGAAACTTGGGAAGAGTTGACAGTTGATGAAGGGTACTGAGGTCACCCGAAGACATCTGGCAGGACTGTCAGTCACTAATGCAAAGGCAATTTTGCCAAGTTTAGGATAGGACAGAAAATAGAGCTGCGCTGGAGAAGGAATAGCTGGAGGTCAGAGTTGAATTCTTGAAAAGTAGCAAGGTTGCAGATGTGAACGACATCAAATTAGGCACAGGGCTAAAAGTACATGGTTTAAATTCTGGATTGCTCAAAGGCACATGCTTACAAGTCTGTTTAATTTCTGAGTTTAAGCATACACAGCAAAATTTACAGGGAAAAAAAGTAGCAGTGATACAATTTGAAGGGTATGTTGATCAGAGGCTTCCAGCAGACAGTGAACGTAACTACCCCTATTTATTGGGACCTGTGGTTTTAGGATACTGATTTTCTTTTATCCCCCTGCAGATTTTCTACTTTCAGGAACGCTAAGTCCATCTGCGTGATATCTTTAATTTCTTGCTATCACCTTTCCTGACTGCTAGCACAGGCTTTGCTGATAGCTTACTGGTGAGGGTTGGTGATAGAGATTTTAAAAATATCCAGAGAGGGTAGATGCATTTAGAAGTATAGACAGTATTCTTGATTTTTTTCATTGCTACACTGACTTCAGTGGTACAGTAGAATTTCTTTATACCAGCTGAGGACCTACCTGTGTAGGAACAGCTGGTCTGAAAAGTGTCTTAAGAACAGACCTTTATGAAGTGTTGTATGAACACAGATAAACCAACCCTTTCCCTGGTACAACCTGACACAGAAAATGACATTTAGGAAAGTAAGAAAAAAAGAAAGCTGTGATCTAAACACTGGAGTGTATTCTTTGAGCAGAACTACAGGTGCTTTTTTTTCTTTTCTTTAAAACTAAAATGACATGTTCTGAAGTGCTCTTCCTGACTAATTAGTCTTAGCCTGATGATACGGTCAGTTGTTCATAGTACTGCAATTCGTCACTGGAGAACTGTATGCAGCTTGAGATGGGCCTGACCTAAAACACAGATCTGAGCGCTTACACATTTTGGGGAAGCGAGGTATCTGGCACAGCCTTCAGAACTGAATGCCAGTCTTTATTGTGAACTCAGGTAAACTTCAGATCCAAATCCCCCAGTGCTTTAGGGAAGCAGAATCTGGGCTTCAAAAGGCTTGTCCCTTCAAAGTGCTGGGCCATGGCAGCAGAGAATGAAATGGATAAAGAAACCATGCTGATAATAAAGCCCTTTGCTTTTATACACAAACACCTTGGAATTTGATCTAGCTAAAAACTTTGACATGGCTACATACAATATTTCTGCAAAAGAACCCTCGCCGAGTGATTGTGCGTTGCCACTTCTTAGGGAAGCAGAATTCTTGGCTACATGACAAACCTTGATACTCACAAGGACAGTCCAAAAAACGTAGACTATAGTGTGGGTGGGGCAATAACTATAAAAGATTGGAGTGAGATCGTGTGATTTTGTGGAATGTCTTCATTATGTCAGGACTAGTTATTCACTTTCTGGAGGAAATGCTTACCTCTTGGTTATACTAAAGCAAGGTTTTAGGTGGTATTAGCATGTTACTCTGGAGACAGCCATGCTAGCTTTCTGAAGAGTTTGTTGAAATTCTAAGTGCTAAACATTATAAATAATGCTGTAAAAACTACATGTGAGTACTCTTACAGAATTTGATGATCTTCTAGCTTTATAAGCCAAGGACAAAAACATGGAATTTGTTAATGCACAAGTGACTCGAGGGCTTAGTTCTTGCTTTTTTTTTCATCTTAGAATAGCTGGCTTGTTTAGGCCACCTGATTGCAAGTGCAATTTCAGTTACCTCTGAAAAGCCTGCTGATGTCACTGGGGACTGGATGAACCAAGAGTGGACCTTGACCCTTATTGTTTAGAATGGTGCACATCCTCTGGAAGTAAGGTAATACTTGGTAAAAGTTTCATACATGCAGAACTGCTAATGCACCCGTTCTCCAGATCTTTACCCACACCATTTTCTTGGGCTGCAGTTTAGTGGTAGTGACATAACATGCTGTTTGCAGGCCTTGTTGCCTTCTCAGAAATCATATCATAGCCTGTTACAGAGTTCCTCTTGCCTGGTCCTCCAAGCCTGTCCTATTGCCAATTCCCCTTCTGTTTCAAATAAGAGCAAGTTGTTTATTCATGATTATGTAGAGAATTTGGTTACCAATAAAATAAACCAATATCATGGTTTATTCATGTAAATTAGGTGGCCTGTTTGCACTTTTGCCATGTACATGAATTGGGCCTGAATTCCTTAGTAATTTGCCCCAATATGACTTGACAGAAAGTTGTGGTTTTCTTTGTTTTTGTTGTTCTTGTTGTTTCAGCATTGTTTCCACTGAAGAGAAGTGAATAAATGTCCATAACAAAAAACTCAACCCCAAGCCAATTAGAGCTTTTTTTGTTTCCCTTTAGTCTGATAAGGAAGTCCAGACTAGTTTTTAGAGCTATTTTGCTCTGGAACTGCTAGATTTAGGCCCTATTCATATATATATTGAGGTTAGGTTATTAGCATAGAATAAGAAAGTCCAGCATTATTGAAGGATTTTTCACTTGTGCTATCTTGAATATTACTGCAGGCTTATCTCTACATTTATACATTTCATACCTCTGCAGTCAGGACTACTTCTAAAAAGAAGTCGTCTCTGGTAGGTCTTTAATTTTAGGTGAAATAAAAGTATAGGTGATGTAGCAAGGATAACTTGATCGTTAGCTTTCAAAACGCACTGGAAGCTAAGCCATCAAATGTGCAGTAATTCATTCCTAGAAAATGAATTTAAGAAGTTTCTGTGTCTCCCAAGCTTAGCTGTTGGTACTCAGACTAGTAGATGAGCTTGTAAGAAGTGAAAATACCTGTCAGTATGTATGTATATAATATTTATATTGTGTGTATGTACATATATTTAGTTTTATGTGGCACTTTTAATTGTCATCATCGATTAAACAATAAGACTTCATGGATTAATTTAGTAGCAAGCACAAAAGGTTTTTTGTTCCCATGATTAAGTGTTTGACTGGCATTTGAACGTATTCTTTTAAAGGTTTTAATATTTTTGGGGTGCTATTCACAGAACACAGTTCTATATTCTGAGGCATTTGTGCTTGCCTTTTCACTATATTGTAATGAAAAGGCTCAAAACAGAATTGATTAACAGGAAGCCTTTTCAAGGTACAGTGCAAGTCTTGCAAGGGATTTAGGTGCTTCCTTAACTCACATGCCATAACAAAGCACTTCCCTGGTAATTTGTCCACAGTCACGTAGGAGCTCTAGGAAAGTACCTGACAGTGAGCTAGGAAGACCTGAATCTCACACTAGAGTTTTAATCAACAAAAGCATCCCTGCTTGTGTTGTTTCATTGTGCAGTGACTTGTAATTACAGCTTGTGTTGAACAGAAGTGCACAAGCAGTAGGGATAGAAGCTCTTGTATCTTGGTAAGTAAGGGTGAAGCAACCTAAGGACCTCATTTCAGAAAGAGTAGTCTGCTTGATGATAGTTTTCCTGCTTTTTAGGTGATAAGCCATTGCCTACAACATATCATTTATATACCTGTAAAGAATACATCTTAGTAGTATGGCTGTGTGCATTTGGAGTTATAAACATGACTGTGTACTGTATGGGAAGCTGTTTAGGAACCTTATGTGTGTTATCCCTGTATGTAATGTGGAAGAGAATCCATGCAAGTAAGGTTGTTGGTAGTGGACAGTTGAAAAATCATGAAGAGAGGAAGAAGTCAAATTTCTCTCTAGGTAATAACAACCCTCAGCTTGCCTTAGAACTGGCAGTGCTTGCAGCTTCTAGTCTTTAGTGCTGATCTGGGCTGTGGTGCTGCATAATAAAGAATTAAAAAAGAAAAAAGAAGGTCTTTTCCTGTGACTTCCAGAATGTGTGTGCCAACAAGTGTGTGAATGTTAAACTTGATAGATTAGGAATGCAGGTATGTGCACCACTAGCCATGCACGGTGTGAATGTTAATACTCCTTGTTTCTATTTTAGACTTGTATTGCAAAGTGTGTAAAGGAAGGTGCATTGGTGTGCTTCCAGGTGCTGCACTAAGGTGTTGTTTTGTGCACTGTGCCTGGTTAAGGCATAACTGGAAAGGGTAACTGATACAAGTCACTTGGGATTTGGCATTTATCTGGTACCATAACATGTCAGTGCTATAAGAGGTCTAAAGCCTTATGAGCTGTAGAAGCGTTCAGATTTGTGAGACCAGAGTTCATTAATACTCTTTTTCTGTTGTATTCCATAGTCCAGTGATTTGTGATTCCCCCAAGAAGTGTACAGACCAAATGGCTCCATGTACAGGAAAAGTCTTGTAAAAAGAAAAACCTGGACCTGAAGCTGTAAGGCTGTATGGTTTTGGGAGGAAAAGGTGGGGGAAGGTTGGTCCTGTTGCTGTTTTGTTCAACACAAAGGTTCAATTTCCTTGACAAATGATGGACACAGCCTCCAAAATTGGAACTCTGATCCCAGAGGGGCCCTGTGTTATTATAACATAAAGAATGGTTATTAAACTGTCAGAGGGTTAATAGTTTCATCTTAATAATCTTGATAGATGGTGCACATTTCACCAGTGCTCCAAAAGCCCACAATGAGCTTTAAAATATTTTACTATTGGCTTGCCCTTCATTTCCCAATGAAGTCTAAGGAGAACTCTTCTTGCTAATAAATTCTTTATCATAACTTAGCTGGTTTTCCCCTTATAGAAGGGAAATATATCCTTTGCTGTGCTTCCTGATTAATCGTTCTAATTTTATCAGGAAAATTAAATTCTCTTCTTTATCTTGGAAGTTATTTAAAGAGGTCTGAGCAAAATCCCAGCCCATGAGCCTGATGACTACTTTGCATAAGCATCTCTACGCTTTATTAACTTATTACTTTTTAAGTGATTTCTGTCTGAAGGATTCCCTTCAACTTTGAGGGCCATTTGTCTTCTATTCTCAGGATTTCAGGATGACAAATGGGATGTCAGATATGACTTACCCTGAGATGTTAAAGGAGTCATATAGGATAGCTCTTACCCCATACCTCAACATGTTCTGTAGGATGTAACCTCTGAAGCTGGTCAATTCTGATGACCAAAATAAATATCTGAATAGCTTTACAATGGGAGAAGTAGCTATACGCTAAACTAAAGTAGTTCTTAAAGTATGTTAATCATTTAATGCAAAAACAAAACAAACAAACAAAAAAAACTAATAAGACGTGTATATATAAATATGCATGGGAGTTGATCCCAGTCATGGAAATTCTATCATTTTAAAAAAAAAAAAAAAAAAAAAGATTAAATAAAGGAGTGTCTCAGTAATTTGAAACAATACAAGCCAGTACTTGGCTTTTCTCCGTCTTGTATCATGTCCCTGAGTGTGCAGAGCTAATGAAGACAGACAACATCTCAATTTGTATATACTTACCGTAGTTTCCACAACTAATGTATGCTGAATCCAGAAATCAGGTGGATAGTCTCCCCAAATTGACTTCCTTTATTCTATCCTCATCATTGATGAAAAGGATGACAGTTTACAGTGAGGTAGAACTATAAAGGATATAAAATTTCATGCTTTAGGTCATAAGTCAATTTGCAATTGTGTGTGTTAAGGAAGACATTTCCCATATGGTTATATTACTGTGAAATTACGCTTTTTGTGTAGAACCTATTGTGCCTTTTGGCAATTACTGTCTTCAGAGATGAGGTATGGGTCTGGTGCAGCAGTTTTGATACCAGGGAGTTACCTTTTTCCTGACAATGATGCCTACACGCAGCTCCTGAACAAGATAGGAGATACTGGTGAGGTGAATCAAACATCGTGCTTCTGGGATTAACTGGAAATGTTTTTGTTGTTGTTTTTTTCCTTCAGTCTCTAGGTTTGTGTTCTTATTATTTCTACTACAGTTTTGACATCCACAGCCTGCTGATGATTTCAGGGCAATTTCTAGAGCTAGCAGCTTTCTGCTGTTTTATACAGAATTGCCATGGTATTCGGAAGAATTCATCAGTAAGAGAACATTAACTTGGGATGGCTGATACTGGAAGGTACTGCTGGAATTTATCTTGTCCAACCTCCCTGCTCAAATAGGACCACCTAGAGCAGGCTGCCCAGGACTGTGTCCAGATGTTTTTTTGAGAGTCCCTAAGGATGGAGACTCCACAACCCCTGTGGGTAAGCTGTGCCATTGCTCAGTTACCCAGTAAAGAAGTCAACACAGTACAGAAGTGTTTCCTTATGTTCAGAGGGAATTTCCTGTATTCTCCTTGTACCCATTGCCTCTTGTCCTGTCACTGGGTGCCACTGAAAAGAGCCTGGTATCATCATCATCATTACACCCTACCTCCAGGTGTTAATATCCATTGATAAGATCCACCTCGAGCCTTCTTTTCTCCAAGGTTGGGCAGTCCAAGCTCTCTTAGCTTTTCCTCATAATACTCCAGGTGCTTCAGTCACTGGATCATCTTAGTGGCTGCCTCCAATATGTCCCCAGAGCTGCTTTCCAGCTGGCCAGCCTCTAGCATGTCCTAGTGCCCCAGGGACTGAGACTCCACAGGAGCAGGAAATTCCTCCATAGGTGCAGGAGAGCTACTCACTGGTAGTTGACCATTTTTTTCTGCTCTTTGTGCAATGTATTCAAGAATAATTTGCTTTCTACTAAAGCAGATTAGGTTATGACAATAATGCAGATAACAGCATACTGTAAGGTAATTTAAGCTATAAAGTTTGGAATAAGATACTAAAACACCTGTGAAAACCTTTTATTGATTGCCTCAAAGGGATCTCAGGATAAAACATAGCTACAGAAAAGAAAAACAGGAAATATGAATGCTACAAAGTTCTGTTCTTAGAGGCTCCTCATACATGGTTCACTGCTTACTTTTAAGTTTTAATACTTCACAATCAATTAAGCACCCAATGTTTGTACATAACCATTTGAAATGTATGCATTTACCAGATTAAATTTGTACTAAAGCATGAAAAAGTCTCTCCATCTTTTTTATGAATAAGTATGAATTAGATTCAGTAGTCAGGCATAGCTATATATGATATTAAGCTTGAGGAGAATATGATGTAAGAGTGGCCATGGTGCTGCCACCCTTATCTTTAAATGCATTGAAATATCTGAAACCTCACAAAGTCTCGAGCAGCATCTTATGGTAAAAGAAGAAACAAAATAACATGTCTTTTGTCCTTCACTGTCAACATGATGACTCATAAGCATTCTTTTTCTTTGCATCTTCCTCCTATTAAAATCATTCTGTCTGAGCAAAATGACCTGTGACAGATGACAAATACAGTATAGTTCATGGACAAAAATAACACTCTAAATTGGATATATTGTGAGAGCGTTGTAACCTGCTATGCTGAAGCTTAACTGAAATGCAAAAGACATTTTTCTGCGTTCTGGCACATATTCTCTACGGCATGACTTTCCATGTAGTTGATTTAATTAAGTGCAGGATGAGTCTTCCTTGTATTCAACTCTTCTGGTTGAAAGGTTGGTTTCTGTGACTTTATATGGAAAATAGCAGCAGCAGGAACTGACTGGTTAAATGTGTGACTGCAGATCAGACTCAGTACGTGTAATGTAAACTTTCTGGCTTTGTTGTTTCAGTCTATGAGGTTTTGGAGATACTTCAAGCTTCCATCATCAGTGTGGAAACTGGTTGCTTGCCTCTGCAAAGCCAAGGCAGCAGCAGAATCTTGATCTAGGACACAACATAAATGCTTGAATGCTATCCTGTTGTGGAATGATGGTAAGTTTCTTTACCATTAAGAAAGGAAACTGAAGAGGAGAGGACGCGTTAAGTCTTCAAATGTATAAAAAGCCTCTGTGAAGAGGGAAGTGGTAAGTCTGTTCTTTGTACTCATGTTGGGTAGTTCAGGAAAAGTTAGGATTTATACTGCTTCAAAAAAGATTGGTTTACACACTAGGCAAAAGCTACACACTAACCTCCAAAGGGTTTTGGAGGTAGTGTTTTTTCTAATGGTAAGGTTTGTGGAGCAAATTGTGCAAGAAACTTTTGATTTCTCCATCAAAGGGGATATATAAAGAACAGGTTGGAAAGCCTGTCATGAATGGTCTAAATACAGTGGTCCTGTGTTGGGACTATGGGAGATGGAGTCACAGATTTCTTAAGGTCCCTTCTTGCTGTATTGTGCTATAAACTTGTACCATCTTCTGAGTTGGGCACATGTTAAATTTGCTGCCATTTGCTTTTTTCTTCATGTAAATCAACATTTTGCTCCTTCACGGAGTAGATAACAAGTCCTTCCTTATGAAGCCACCTTTTATTCTGTTGTAGTATGTTAATTTGATTCCAATCTGCCATTTGTTAGAGCACTTTGACAAACCTATTGTTTTATCATCTCCTGTGTTAGTTTGAATCCCTGACTTTTGTAGCTCTTCTTCTGCAGTTTAAGTGTTATTTATGGTACCTTTTAGTAATTAATAGATATCAGGCATTCAGGGGTGGGGCTTTTTTCTTTGTTAGTGAGTTCTTATTTTCATGTGATAAAGGCCTCCTGCTCTGGAATTCATTTTCTCTGAATCTCACGTTCTTTTCACCAAGACTATATTTGATGGCCAGTGCTGTATGGCTCGCAGCTCTGTTGGTCAGTGGTTTGTGTAAATTTTATTTTTTGTGTGTGAGGAAAAGGTTTTATGTCCTAGGGGAGATAAATTCTCTGTTATGTTGGCATGGTCTCTATCCTCCAGTGGTTATCTGCTGCTTCAGAGGTTTGAGGGAAGCTGTAAAGGCTGTCTAACTGCCTGGCTCAAGGTCCTCTCAGAGGGAGGAAACTTCAGGCATTAGAGTCCATCCAGCTATTTTGTGTCACTTGGGCTCAGGTCAGCACAGGCAGCAGAAAGAGACTATGTACAAGCATAATTTAGGGCAGCTTCAAAGGTCTGAATATTGGAAAGAGTACATAAACCACACTGTCTCCCTCCTGGGACTGACTTGCAACTCAAATAAATGCAAAGTATTTTTGATTGAGTACTCTGATATTTGTGAGGATATAATAGCCTTAGACCTTGATGAACAGTTTTTAATACCATGGTTGCCTCAAGATGTAGCACACTTTGGGTTTGTCACTGTGCCGTTAATTTATTGGGAACTTTCCAGATGTAAAAGTAGTAGTCAGTGGGGAAGCCATTCCTGAAAACAGGAGTGGCACTATTGATGCATCTTAGTGGCCCATCCTGTGCCCATGGTATTCAGCATCTATGGCCATCATCTGGAAATAAACACACCTTATGGCTCATTAAAAGCTTGTAGGGTGACTCAAATGGCATTATAATGTTAAATTATACACATATTTCCTGAGGATAAATAACAGTCTTTCAGATCTTGATCACTGACTAGCTACATGTAAGTCCCATTCATACAATTCATATTCAAATGATAGGGATTTCAAATCAGCCAAGAGTGAAGAAACAAATTTAGAAACAGTGGATGGCAGTGATAGCTTTGAAATGGGGAGCCATATCTTCACAAGCGGAAATTGTTTAGGTGCATAGGTCAAGAATCTCAAGTCTTCAGTGCAAGATTGTGTCCAAAAGGCCTGCTGAGATCTGGAGTTGTTGAAAGAGGTATTGAGGAGAAGGAGAGAAAAAAACAGGATTTTATCTCTGTAGGGCATTGGCAAAGCCTCTGTTGATTGAAGTACTTAGTTCTGATAACTGTATTTTATGATTTAATGTTAAAAATTATGGCCAGTATAGAAAACAGGCTCCAAAGTCATCCACAAGACTCTTAGCAATGTGAAATGGAAAGCCAGTTAATTCTGTGTAGGTATCAGAAAGATGACGGAGATGATTTGATTGCAAAATATAAGTGCCTTCAAGGAGAGAAAGTACTGGGTACTAAGGGGCTCTTCAGACCGGCATAGAAAGATGCAGAAATCAGCAGCTGGAGGCTGATGCTGGGCAAACTCTGATGTAGGCGTGAGGCAGTTTTAGCTGTGTGTGTGCCACCTCTGGTGCTAGCTCCCTGAGGAAGAGTTTTTAGGTGCTGTGTTTTAAATCAACGCTCAGTGCCTCTCTGGAAGACATCCTTGAGCTGTGAAAAAGTTATTTGGCTTGATTAATGGGTAACTGCATAAAACGTAGTGGCATGTGGTATATAGGAGGTCATGCAAAATGACTGTGGTGGTCTTGTGTGCCTCTAAGCCCTATCAATAAGCGTTTAAGTTAAACTCGAGCTCTGATCTTTCATTTTGTAGACTGATAGGTTGTTTGCATTTCATTTTATTCTCTAGTACAAGCCTTACTTTATGGGCTCCAATATTTATATACATGAATTGAGGAGAGGTGACTGCAGTTGCTTGTCGCTGAACCACATTATGGTTTGCGTTTGTGATCAAGACAGCCTGACCTGTGACCACTTGCTCAAGGACTGATGTGTCCTTGTCGGTTTTTGCTCCTATCCAGTGCTGTGGCTGTAAGCACCGCGCAGTCCAGCCCGCCGCGTTTGGGGCGAGTCAGCTCTGCCAGCTTTAATCACTCACGTTAGCCTCGTGAAGAGAAAGGAGCAGAAAATACCACTCAGCAAGGCGGTGAGGCCATGAAATTGTGTTAAGCCACACTCCCGAAAACGGCTGGATTTGCTATTTTAGTGTAAGTGTCTAAATGTTTTTGAAATTGCAATTTTCGTGTGCTGCTATGTGTAAAGGTGACCGCTCTGTGTTGGGCCCCCGGCAGCCGGCTCCAGACAGCTAATCAGCTTGATTCATTTGGCAGGGTGGTCGCTCAGCACCTCCTCTGCAGCCATACAGCAGGATGGAGCTCCCCACTGATGTGCAAAGATATAATGGCACCTACTAGAAATGCAGAACTTCCTGAAGACACATGAGGGTTTAATTTTTGTGGCAGCAATATATTTAGCGGGGTACAAAGATTGTAACCCTTATTTGACTAGCCAGCAGCCATTCAGGGATAGAAAGTGCAGTTGTCACTTGAGAAATCCTGAATTCCTGCTGGAGAGACAGGCCTGAATGAATGCATTTGTGCAGCGAAGTCTCTCTCTATTTCACTTCCATCGTGTTTTTAAAGTTGCAGCACTGAACGAAGTAAGGTTTGCGATGTTATGGTGTTTGTTGCCGAGTTTGGCCACATGATGGCACACATCAGTCAAATGAACATTACAGTATCATCGGAGGAGCTCCTGTGAATGGAGAATAATTAAGGCTCATACTAAGGGCTGTAGTGCTCAGGTTTGTGGTCCCTAGCCATCCCTAGCAGCAGTTTTAATCTACAATTTACCAAAATCAGTAAGGGGCAGTGGTGGTGTCTTAGCTACAAGCTGAAGAAATACCTGGGGTGGGGAACTAAAGGGGTGGGAAGCACAAGGAAAAAGCTTATCTGGAGGAGATAATAAATAAAAATTTAAATAAATAAAAAGGCACCAGGTAGCAAGAAAACTAACTTTTTTTTTTTTTTTTTTTTTTTTTTTTTTTTTTTTTGTCTCCTGGATGTGCTGTTTTATTTTGCCTTGTTTTGGTCTTCACTTCAGAGGACTGGTATGAACACCTAGGAACACGGAAAGGTTTATTTTTCCAACATATAGATGAGAAATAATGTGTTGTACTTGCTTTATGAGATGTCAGGTAGGAGATTTTTTTCCTAAATGGTCTTCTGCTAAATAATGTTCCTTGCCTCCCTGATGACAGCCATTGCTGTGGAGATGGCTGGTGAATACATCTAAGAATACTGTATGATTGGTCTAGCATGTTATCAGTAAGTCAAATAGTGTTTAATGATAATCAGTCTCAAAACGTTATTATGAAATTTATACTTAATTTGTTACAGCCTCAGTGGTGTTAGTTCCTGCATAATGCATTCATCTGAAGAGAGTAACACAACAATTAATAAAACAGCACAACTTTATTGGTATCGTAGCTTTCAAGTCAGTTTATCTATATATATATCTATATATATCTATATATAGATATGTTTAACTTTCTTAAAGGAGATCTCAGTTGAATAGAAAATGCATAAGTGCATTATTTCACATTAATTCTAAAGGTAACAGCTGAAGACCAGTAGCCTATGTAGCAATGCTGCATAACCATATAACAAAAATCATAGTCACCACTCCAAAAAGCTTGGAGTTAAAGACCAAACAGCAATGGGGTTATAGGAAATACATTCAAGGACTGTAGCAAGCTCTGTGGGCTCTTGCATTTTGCTGTGCAGAGAATATTAGAGGACAAAATGAGATGAATATAGAAAATAGTTATAAGGATATTTGCAGAGGTGACTGTAAGGAAGCCCTCCATTTTCCATTCCGTTTCCCCACAGTATGTGCTACCTGGCTTGACAAGGATAAAGAAGGGCACCTGAAACTGAAGGAAGAATTGGACTGGGATTTTCAAAGGATAGACTAATTGCTGGGAGCTGGCTATCTTGATATTGCCGTTCTCTACCTCCCGCCATCACCCAGTAGCTTTAAAACCCTCCTCACCAGAAGGATCAAATCACTTCATTTCCAGTTCACCTCTTGTAGTGGCAAGGGAGGGGGATATCCCAGCCCCGATGCCTGTCTTGTGGGGGCCAGCTCCCTGCATTAGCCATCCAAAACACAGAGCTTTCTGCGTGGCCATCGGGAGAATTCCCTTAGGCCTTTTTGAACAGTGTTGTGCCTTTATTAATCACAATTTCATGCATGTATTTCTGTTGTTAAGCACATCAGCAAAATGAAGGAAATACAAAACAAAACACAAAAACCCCAAGGCCTCAGCAAGTTCTTCATTCATAAGACAAAATGCAGTCAGATCCCTGAAGTCAATATGAAAATTCCCAACCTTCAAAAAAGCACTTGACATCCTAGTTAGTAAACAAACCCTGCATTCTTTGTGACACCAAGTTTTGGTGTGGTGTGTTCTGCCTTGCTCCCGCTCCCTCTCCTGGTGCTTTTCTCTCTTCTCCTCCTGCCCCATAGCTGGCAAGCGTGTTCAGAGGCCGACACGGCAACACCCATGCCTCTTTCAAGTTGAGCGCATTTGTTAGGCATCTGAGAGTGTTGCTTTACTGCCCTTGGGTACCCAGTCACGCAACATGAGAGATGCAGGAGTTCACTGGCCTGCTGAGTGCTTAGCTGCTGCACTTTCCTAAGTGAAGGCAACCAGTGAGCAAGTACAGCAATTAGAAATAAAAGAAAATATTTTTCTGTGGGGAATGTTTATTGACCCCAGAGCTGTTACTTAAAATGAGGAAGAAAAAAAAAAAAAAACAAAACACAAAACTGTCTCTGTAGGGAAAGGATTTTTTTTTTTTAAAAAAAAAAACAACAAACAAATATGCTTTCCTCCATCAAATTCATTGTATCATACAGAGAAAACACTGTGGTTTGAACTCATGCTTTTCAATCTACCTTTTCTAACTTTATTTCTTACAGTTAAGTGTCATAAAAAAGGAGTTTTGAAAATGACATCCGAATTCCTAGTAGGTATCTCAATCTGTGTTTGTCATGCTTTTCCTTGTAAAGAATTTTGTAAAAATAAATAAGTAAAATCCACCAGCTTTTATATATATATATGTGTGTGTGTGTGTGTGTGTTTATATGTGGCCTGGATTGTAGTCAAAATAGTTTTTCAAATGAGATGTTCAGTGCAAATCACATGCTCAGGATTTTATCTGTTTTGGCATTTGGACAAAACACTGGGCCAAATGCTCAATCTTGTAAAAATCCCTTGGGGTTTTGACTGAACACAGATGGTCAAGACCTTGGTTTTACATCTTACCCAATTAAATTGCCTTCGGTCCCTGGCTGCCATATGAAGATACTCCATTAATTTGTATCCAAAGAAATGATATATGCCTAATAGGCTTCTCTCTGGTACCACTTCTGAAATAGTCAAGAACAGGAACTAAGTTTCATTATGGTATTTGTCATTGGGTAATCCATGTTGAGGTCTGCACTGTGTTGCTTGATGAATATATAGATGAGACCTCAAGTGAAACTAGAGCCATATCAAGTTCTGTGCTCTTGCTTAAGAATATCTGGAATCTGTAATTAAGTTTCAGATCTGGTATTTGCATAGGAGATTAATGCAGTTCGATGCATTTCATTTTGATGGTTGACATGTCACTTTAGATACAAGTATGATGACTGGGTAAAATAGAAGGACTTCCAGAAACATTACTCAGGCTGGAAATGATGGAAGGATGCAAAAGAACAGCTTAGTTATATTCAAGCTTGCAAGGAAGGACATGTAGTGCTGAGACTGGGAGAGCCCAGAAGCTTTACTGTGAGACTAGAAAGGGTGTCCAAACAGCAAATGAAGGCTTTAATCTCAGGGAAGTGTTCTTATTTGAGTTCTTTCAGTCTCAGTCTGCAGGGTGGCTGTGGAATCAACCAGTCCACTACTGAGCTCAGTATTTTATGTCTGAATTAGTTATTGTCTCATGGTATCCTGTCTGGCAAGGCAATGCTTCAGCTGCTGTGTTGGGCCTGCTGGCTTTTACTGGATTGTAAAGCAGGAAAGTCTCAGGAGCAGCCTACAAGGAAACCAAAACCCAGCACTTGGTGGCTCCAAGTGGCCTACAAAACCTTACCGACCACTGTGGCAAGTAGCACTGTGTGTGTGCCTTTGGAAATGACTCTCATCTTGTTTCTCTGGCTCCACTCCAGTGGCATCATGACTTAGGCATGTGGCAGTGGGTCCAAGAGCGCATGGGGAGCTCTGTCCCTGGTGTTTTATTCCTGGGAACGCCAAGCACATGCCCAATGCCAGCTTGAGAAAGATCCTGCAGACAAGTCCTGTGGTACCTCAGGTCAACTCACAGATGCAGCCCATAATGTACAGTAATGCGAATCAAGTTGTTGAGCTCCAGTTTGGCTTCAGTTATTAAGTGAACTTCCTTTATTTCAGATTGTTCCCAAGACTCCTTTTCCCTTCATACCCTTAAAAAGTGATCACATTATTCTTAGGTTGTTGCTTATGGGCTCGAATGGAATTTAAACATGCCTGGCTGACAATGATGAATGAATCAACTCCAAATCCCTTGATGTGGATCAGCTATATAGCATAACAATAATATTGTTGTTTAACATTTATATTGAAGTAATACCGTAAGGAATCTCAGCCATTCAGGGACCTATTTTGTTAAACACTGAATAAAGCACATAGCAAAACAACAAGTCTTGTTCTGAAGACAAGACTGTCTAAAAGACAAGATGTACCAGTAGAAAGAGACAAACAAAAAAAAGACAAGGAGTGGAATGATATAAATGACAGTTGCATCTTTACAGAGCTTTACAGACCGTGTGTGCTGCTTAATTTTCTTGCATGGTTGATCTGCCATGTTGACTCTGGATCTTTCTCAGCTCTTTCCCCTTTCATCTTTACCTGGGCTGTTAAACTCTTAAATCTCTTTTTTAAAAAAATAAAATAATAATAATAAAATATATATATATATATATATATTGAAAACATGAAGGAAATTCCCCACTGAACTTTACTATTACCTTTGGGCCATACTCTTTTAGTTGGCTTTCTGTACCTCAAATCCATATTCAGGCTTACTTGAACTAGTTCTTTTATGTAAGATGTTTGTGAAGCACCCTGTCAAATTCATTAATGAGATCCAACTGTATTGAAACTGCCGTGTTCCCTTCCTCACACGCTAATGTTTTCAAAATTATTATAATTAGGCTTGTCTGGAAAGATTCCTTCCCCTCCCCCCCCCCCCCCCACCTTTTCAACTAACTCATCCTTGTTGGTGTTCATCGTTCCCTGTGTCCTGCGAGGGGGGGGGGGGGGGGGGGGGTTAAATCACTCAGCTGATCAGGCCTCACCTTTTTCTCTGGCAGAGCAGTGCCACCAATCTTAGCAAGAGCAGATTTAGACCCTTTGCTTCAATAGTAGAGTTCTGTTGAATGCTTTTGAATGTCCCACCTCCCACCCTGGTTGTACAGTGATACAAAAATGTCTTAAAAACAGATACAGCTTTAAAATACTCTGTTAACTCTTGTGTTGTTTTTTTCTCTCCACATAGACAAACTTCATCCATACACTCCCATGAGCATGAAGACACTACAAGCATGTAAGAAAACACTGGGGCTCTAAGGCCATAATCCTGGAAATTCCTACATAGAGGTCCTGTATACAGGATTACTTTGTTTCCCTGTACCCTGTGTATGTTGTGACACAAAGCTCAGTTGGGTGGTCCCATGATGGTGTGTGCTGTGGTATCTCTGACTTGGGAACCTTGGGGCCTGTAGGAGCTACAGGAGCTCAATGAGGTCCACTGGCATGTGCTCTGCTCCTGGGTTGGACAGCATCTGATTTGCCTGTTGCATTGCCTGCAAGTCCTTCATGTCTCAGTCCTGTCTGTCTTGGAAGATGCAGAGAGAACTTGCAGCCTCCAGACGCCGAGGAGAACCACACCAGAGCTGGAAATTAAAATGTCCACAGTGAAAACCATCCACCTACGTAATTTTTTTAAGGAAACTTAACTGGACTAAAAAATGTACATAAGATAACTTGAAGACACATGGAAAACAAAATGCAGCCTCCTCCTGACCTGGAAACAGAGAAGATTTCCATCACTGGTATGACCAGGCCTTTTTGTAGCTAATTTCTCATGAAACAGTTAGATATGGTCTAGTCACAGGATACAAATACACAAATGTTACTTTTTGGAATGCATTCTTCTACCCTGGATGGCTTGTACCATGTTATTTAACATTATTTCTGTTACATTGTGAGCCTGTACTGTACTAAGCTGTAAGCATTACTCAACTGTTGTCAAATAGAAACAGTTTTGGGTGCTAACTTTAAATGCCCAAGGAAAATGAGTGAAGTATATATACCTAAAATACATGAATAATTCCTAACAATAAATGATTTTGTGTGTGTGTGTGCATGTGAAGAAGATACAAAAAGACCATACCTTGCTCTGAAATGACATAATAATTGGGGTTACTGACGGATTACTGTGTATGTTCTGACATGACATTAGATTAAAATTATTGAATATTACTTGAAAGCAGGGTAATGCCTTGTCAAAGGCCTCAGACTACCCTTCTTGCACTGCACTGCCCTCTGTTTAGCTGCAGAATAGGTACAGGTTTGACCATTTTAGCATCTTCCTGCACTGGGGTTGTACCTATTTAAATGTGCTTTGGTTATTGATAACTTTATGGAGGCAGATGTGTTTCTGGATTAGCTAGGGAGAGCAGTGTGTCTCTATAAAGTAATTACAGGATTGCTGCTCAGCCAATTGGATTCTGGGGCAATTCAAACAGGAATTGTATACACATGTAAAGAAGGCTATTATGGGGCTGGATTGCATTAAAGGGAAAAGCCAAAAGCAGTGGATAAAACTGAGCAAAGGAACATGAAGGAATAGTGAGAAAAATAAATATATATGCCAATAAATTGCAAAAACTGGTTGCTGTGATTATGTGAGCAGTATGTCAAAACACATTTTGAAAAATGATGATATGCCATTCTTGTGAAGACTGCAGTATTGAAGAAAGATGAAATAATGGGAGAGAGGGATAAAATCCAAACACAATCTCATTTCTTAAAGCATATATTGTGTCCTGCATGTCCAAGTCCGACAGTGTAGCTTTCTCAGAGATGCCTTTTGGCCACCATAGGCCTTAGTCAGGAAAACATGCAGTAGCGTTTGACAAAATGTGCAGGAAGGGGAAATCTTGTTGTAGTTTATTGAATGATTGATGGTAATTTAAATCCAGTTCAGAAAAGCAGTTATGTTCTTGAATCATTTCTTGGCTAACGTGCTAATAAAAATGCACTGTATAGTGCTATTGCTGAATTTCAACCAATTTAATAATGAAAAGTTGCTTACTGAGGAACAAAAGGGATTCCTCCACGAGAGATAGATCTGATAGAGAGATAGATCTGATAGATCTATCTCTCTCTCTGAGAGAGATAGATCTGATAGAAATTACAGTCACAAAGGATTGGGCCTTGCTTGTATTTGCTAAGTAGAGGAAAATGTTACAAAAGCTTTACTGATTTCAGAGGCAAGTGAAAGATGTGAGAGGCAGTACTTCTTGATTTAAAGGGAGATTTAGGTATGGAGGGAATTTAAATGTATTACCAGTCCTAAATAGCGAGCAATCCCACCCACCCAAAAAAGAAAAAAAAAAAAAAGAAAAAAAAAAGATTTTTTGAGATTGTCTTCTCGTTGAAAAATTGTAATCAACAGAATTTAGGCTTCACAGTGCCTAAATTACATCTAAAGATGCAAATGTAACCTCCATTGTCACTCAGACAGACTAGATGACATAGTGTCTTGGTTTATGGAAAGGATCTTCAAGGGTGATGTCCCTGAAGCAGAATGGTCATCTACTATGGGCAGAAGATCATCATGAATGAACAGGGAACTCTTCACCAAGTTCAGAGGCATAAAGCAAGCCCACAGAGGATATAAATGGGCATGGGCTGCCTCAGAGGAAGCATGGGAGAGATACTGCCTGAAAATGCAGGGGTAAAGCTAGCGAAGCCCAAGTTTAGCAGCAGCCGAAAGTAGCGTGAGACAGGGAAGAAGGGCTGCTACAACTGCAGTGGAAGCAATAGGAAGGTGAAGGGAAGGAAACATGAAGCCACTTCTCTGTGGGGCAGGAGACCTAGTGATGAACAGGGGGAAAAGACGAGGTACTTAATGCTTTTTTTTTTTTTTTTTTTTTTTTTGTCTCAGTTTTTCTGCTTTGTCCTCTGTTTTCTAAGGTCACTGAGCCTACTGTGTGTTGGAATGAAGCATTACATCCAGCAGCAGACAGAGCTAGGAAACACAAGCCAACAGGATGTACAGAAGTCCATACGACCAGATAGGTTGCATCTCAGGTAACTGAAAGACCTGGCCAATGTCATCAGGAGGATGCTGTCTACTATGGTGGAAAGACCATGGTGATTATGGAAGCTTCCTGCTTGCTGGATGAAGTTAAATTTCAGACCCGTTGTCAGGAAGGGCAGGACAGGAGAATCTGAGGAGCTCTGGGCTGGTCAGCCTCACTTCAGGTCCTGGGAAGATGATGGAGCAAATCCCCCTGGAAGCCATTCCCAGGCACACAAAGAATGAGATGGTAACTGGAAACAGCCACTGAAGACTTACCAAGGGCTAATTATGTCTGGCCCAAATGCCTCCCACAATGATATGAGCAGTTCTATCATTTACTTTGACATTAGCAATGCCTTTGGCACAATCTCTGGTATCGTTGTAAACAAACCAGTGAGATACAGACTGCGCAAGTGAGTGATAAAGTGGTTGAAAGCTGGGTTGACTCAAAATGTTGTGATCAATGACACAAATTGATCAAAAAATGACACTGCTGATTGCTGGTGGCATCTCTCAAGCATTGATAATGATGCCAGTGCTGTTTCACCTCTCTATTTACAAACTTGAGGGTGAAATACTGCACACTCTTAGTAAATGTATGGTAGTAAGCTGGGGTGAGTGCTTGCTGTGCTGGAGGGCCCAGCTCCCTTTCAGAGGGACCTCAGCAGGCTGGATGAATGGTCTGGCTGGTACCTCCAGCAGTTTAGCACAAGTCAGTCCCACGTCCAGCCCCCAGGCTGAAATGACTCCATGACAAAGTACAGGCTGAGCTTAGAGCAGAGGGAACACCTTTGGAGAAAAAGCCCTGGGGTCCATATGGGCAGCAGGTCAAACACATTATCTTCCCCTGATTAGCTGTTTGGCACTGGTGAGACAGCACCTGGAGCACTGTGCCTGGTTTGGGGCTCCCTGGTACCAGAGATACTGAGTGAGCCCAGCAGCGGGTTGCTGCTGGTCAGGGGCTGAAGCACGTGGGGGCAGGAGGAGATGCTGTGAGAGTGGGGCTTGTCTAGCCTGGAGAAGGGTGGGCTGAGGAGAGGGAGCCCTTAGTGTCCATCTGATGGGAGGAACGGGATGAGAGACAACAGGCAGAAATGGGAGCACAGAAAGTTCAAAGTCGATATTAAGGATTTATTATTATTATTATTATTTTTCACCATGAAGAAGGAGAAACACTGGAATAGGTTGCCTGGAGAGGTTGTTTTCTTTGTGTCATGATTACCATATTCTCCATGGCTCGTTTTAATGTACCCTTTGTCCTTGCAGAATACTTCAGCTTTATCCTTCTGAAATTTCTACGGGGAAGAGAGCATTTTGCTGTCATTAGCAGCACTATGAGAATGATAGGGTTATGAACAGAAAATGCAGTAGAATGGACAGGCAGGGAATGAGGCTGAACACTTTAATATCAGGATTTTCTAATGGATTGCCTGAAATGCTTTGCAACTGTGGAAAGGCACATCCCTAAAGACAGAAAGCCCCTCCTCAGGGAGTAGAATTCACCTGGAAAACAGTTTTCAAATATTTCTGTTGCACAGAAGTCCTCCTGTCCCCACTCCTTCCTCCCACCCCCAGCTGGAAATGATTTTTCTTTCTATTCAGAATTAGCTACCAAGTGTAGAATCCTGACCTCGTCAAAGCCACTAGATAACAGTATAGTGAGATCTTCACTCTGCCTTTAGGAAGTCTTGAAATATTTTTCAAAATGAGATGAAGTTATAAAAGGTGAAAACATATACGGGAATTCCTGTTAGTGGCTTCATGGTAGAAGGCCACTCAGGCTAATAACTGATAAAAATGTCTACCTGGTATGTGTACAAAGATACGCGCATGCCCACATGTACAGATGTGTTCAAAAGGGCTGCCCTGATAGACTGGACTCCAGCTTTGGCGAACTCTGATCGGGGTACAGCCCTGCACAGGAGGAAGTACAAGAGAAGAGCCTAGAAACTCAGGTAATATCACTTGGTTTTGATGGATGTGTTTTTTAAAGGCACTGTTGTACATATGGTAATAGTTTTTTCTTATCCTCTGACAGTGAATTTCTGCAACACAAATCTGTCATCTCTTCTGTCTGCTTAATTTTGCAGATGTGTTGAAGTACCTCAAATAAATGAGCAATCAGAGAACCACAGGATTTGCAAGATAAAGTGGGTGCTTACCTGTTTGGTTTGCCATCTGCTTTACTTTGGACCAAATACCAGTGTATTCAGTCCAAAACAACAGTGTGTATTTCTTTTATTATCTGTGCTGCCTGGTTCATATTTAATCAGATTTTTGTTATTTTATTACAGCTCTTTACTGATATGAATTAGGTAATTAAAAGTCCTCTAGAAAAAATTTAACACCTGTTCTGTGCCTTAAATATTGCTCACAAAACTCAGAAAGCTGTGAAACTTTATTTTACCGAACAGATCATTATTATTGTAATGTGAAGTGTTACACATTCTTTGCACTTCTGTTTTCTGAGGAAGCTGTTGAAGTCTGAGGGAAAGCTGGCTGCTGCTGGCTCTAATTGTTACAAATTATGTAAAAATTATTCCAGCAACAGAAAGGAAAAATCCTTTTTTTTTTTTTTTTTTTTCCTTATTTATTTATTTATGTGTGTGAAAGTGATGTTTCCATGTTTAAACAAAGAGTTGTTAGTGACTAGTTTTTAAACTGATAATTTCAATTGGCTTTACTCCATCAACCACAAGGAAAACACCTGGTGACTGCTTAATCCCAGCCAACACTTGTTAACCTTTTGGCCTTCACGGCAACTATCAGCAGGCACCAAGTCAGTGGTACTAATAAACTGGCATTAAAACTTCCACCTGCTAATAACATCTTATTGCTTTTCAGTATTAAATAAAAGGAAATGATCTGTTTAATTACAGTCAAAGAAATTTTGCAATGCTATGCTGCCTTGGATGGTGGTAATAATAATGGAATGTATCGAGGGTCGTGGCTACATGGACTGATGGCTATAAAGGTAAGCTAGAATGACAGTAGCTATACCGTAGTGGCTCTTTGCCTGTAGCAAATGTGAATTATTTTTAAGAAAAGATAAACTAGGTATATTTTCAAAAATATGCATAGGCAGTTGTAAGCAAAGTCGTATCTAATATTTGATTGATTTTATTGTTGATGCTCCTCTTAATCGCTTCACTTTACTGATATTTCTTAGCTTGGTGGCAGTGGTGGTATTGTGTTGTGATTCCTTTTTTTTTTTTTTTTTTTTTTTTTTTTAACCCTGTTTGTAAAAGGCTGAGCACTGATCACTTATTCCACCCTAAATGAAGCTGCAGCAGTGCAACTTGGTTAAACTTTACAAAACCAGGGTCGGATCAGCTGAAGTTCTGCTTTCTTGGACTTGTCAGCTCATTTTCAATGTTCCTGCACCCTCTCCCTCTGGCTGAGCACCAAGGCTGGTCCTCTGAAGCCCAGGTCCCCTGAAACTAGCACGTGCACACCAAAACCTTTCCTTACGTCGTTTGTAATCCTTCATTGCAGTTACATGTTACAGGCTGAAGAGGGTGTAAGAGGGCCTGTTAGTATCCTGGTTTCCTCACAGAAGAGGACCCCACTTGAGAAAGGCACTGATGAACCGTGATATTTAAGGAAGTCTCATGTGGGATGTAGGCTGAGTTAGCAATTCATTGTTTCCAGATGTTCGTGCTTCTTTGCTTCATCTTCTAATTCCTACCCAGATACCTTAAATATTCCAGGACAAGATTACCTGGATGTTGAGTTGCCAATAACACAGCTGTTTTTCCCTGGAGATCTGATCTCCATTTTGACATGGGAAATACCCATACCGCTTCCTTTATCATGTTGTAAGTGAAAGATGCTATGCCCTACTGATAGGTGTTCTTATATATTCCAAAGTGGTAAGCTTTGCATTTTTTTTTTTTTTTAAAGCAGGAAATTATTTCATTTTGATGTTATAATCTGTCCAAATTCCAATAATTTTAATACCTTGAAATATACAGAGATCCATCAAAATTAAGATTACCCTTTTAAAAAGAAGTGTAATGCAACAGTACTTCGCTCTTAATTATCTGGTGGGATGTTTAATATGTGGGAGTGTTTAGACCAACAAGCTCATGAATAGCAAAATAAATGGAACAGGGAGCATATAATATCCATTGCACTGGCCACAGACCAGCAAGTTAATGGGTTACACAATGTTCTATTGTCCCGTGACTTCCAGAGAAAGAAGGACCCAGGTGGAGGAACTATGAAGTCAAGGGAATCTTGTTTCCTGTCAACCCTGTTTCATGAACTTTTGTATTTTTTTTCTCCTGTGAGCTCTGGCTGGGTTGTCAGCATTATGCAACATTACTGTGGCAGACTGTTGAGAGGCAATAACTTCAAAGACAGTAAATCTTTAAAAGGACAGAGGAAAACACTAATGCTATACATGCTGTTTGAGTGTTCATAGTTGTTTTTTTTTTTGTTGTTTTGTTTTTTCTTCATTCTGTTTTGCAGAAAAAATGTTGTTGGGAATACTTATACAACTGCCATCCTGCTTTTAAAAAGAAAAGGAATTTCTTAGCTTCTCTTTTATTATTTTTCCCTTTCTTAATCAAGAGGTAGGCAAGTTATGTTTCTGTCAGGGGCCTGTTTTAAAAGCATCTGGTGAACTGTGTGGACAGGTGAATAAAAAGCCATGATAAACTATTTAATATGAAATAAAATGTGTAATTTGTAGGGGATGATTTCCAGCGAGCAGAGTCATTGCATGATGCACATCTTGTTGCTAAAGATCATCAGGTTATGACAGGTAAGTCAAACAAACATTATGATTTACCGACATCTGCAAGTGTTCTAAATAAGTTGTCTCCATTTTGCAGGGTTAGCTGTGTGCCTGTGGCTTAATGAAGTTTTTAATTGTTTCAGTCAATATCAGTGAACTAAGATATACTACTCTGAACAGTGCTCCGGTGTGTGGTCTCTTAGTCTGCTGATTTCAGTAAAACAAACAAACAAACAAAAAAAAACTGCAAGTCTGTGCATTTTTGTGTGACTCATTTTAGGAAATCAGTTATACAGTTGTTGTTTTGCATGACACATCCTCTCATATTTGTTTCATTTGTGAGAAAACTTCTTGTTTGCCTGTATGGCCACATGCCCTCCTTCTTAGCCCTATCATATCAGTAACACAGACAAAACTTGAAATCAGACTTTGTGAGATTGTATCTGCTGTGCTTGACTCTACCTTGCTTTCTGGGTCTTGTATAGCTTTATCCTACTTAAAGCCTTTTCAGTGGAGAGGCAACTTGTTTATTCCCTTTGTGTGCTTTTGCCCTGATGTTTCCAGAGGTAGGAAAGACTTTGGAGAAAGTAATATGGTACAAATCTAAGTGGAGATGAAGGGAAATTAAGTGTCTGTCTGTCATTGGTAGTGACAAAAAATTGTAGAGGTGTAGCTTTGGAGCATTGCTCTTCACTTACATGAAGTATATCACTTTCTGCTTACATGCACCTGAACCAACCTTCCCAGGAGATACAACCTCCAGTATAAACTTTGCCGATGAGCTAATACAGTTTTTCTTAATAAAACATTTCAGACACTTTGCAATCAGGTTTAATAATAGGTTTGGAAAAAAGTAACTACAATGATGTTTATAGCCAAGAGACACAGAAAAGAAAAACATTTCAGTGCTGGTATGATGGCTTGACTTTAGAGGGTCACTGAAATCAGACTAGGTGTCAAATCTCAGAAAAGGGCAATGTTTTGAACCTGCTGTTTGAACTGATATTTAGCAACAAACTTTCCCAAAGGAGAACTCTCTGCTATGAGAGACTTGATTGTTTGGGAGACAATTGTTCCAACAATGTGCTTATAGATGGTTGCTTTTCTTTCTGAAAAGGAGGGGGGAAAAGCAGCACACTCAATGGATCATAAAATAATAAAAAAAAAAAAGGTATTTTGAGGACTTAGAGTTGTAGGGTTTGTTTGTTATTTTTTGTGTTGTATAGTTTTTGCTAAGACTTATGACAAGAAGGCAGAGAGAATGGATGCCTGGTCACTGAAAGTGAATATAACTTCCGAGCTGGAAATGCAAAATCCTGGGTCAAGCAGATGGTTTCTTTGATTGGACTGAATACAGAACTAGTCTTGCAAGGGATTTGTTTTTTGGAATCGAAGCCAAAGGCATGAATATATGAGGAAATAGCTGGTTATATGGCAGTGTGTTGGGGCATAGTAACAGACTGTACGTGGAATAATAACTGGAGTGGTCAAATGCCTTTCATGCCTGAGGCATGTACTCCAAAGCACTCAAAGAGCAGCTAGTTAAATGCCTGTAGCATAGCATCCAGGTGGTCAAACAAAACCTCGCTACAGAAAATTGTACAAAACACAACTTTGAGCAGTCAGGTTACTCAAACCATCAAGCTATTCTCCCTATCCACTGCTTTTTTTTTCTTCCCCCCTCCCCCAAAGAGTGTCATAGGATCTTCTTCTAGCTGATGTGATGTGGCTGTTGCTCTTTCAGACCAATGTGACACAAAACTTAGCTCTAGCTGGAACTTAAGAATGGGTGGGTTTGGGGTTTTGGTTTGGTTTTGGATTGGTTTTGATTCTGCTACTAACTGACCTGTTGAAAGGGTTCAGTAAGTGACATAAAATCCGCTCTTCTTTATGTGAGATAAGGTGCCTCCTATATTCTGCTCTGAAACTCAGAGAACCTAAATGCTGCTTGACTCATCAGGCTTTGCCACAGGAGCTGTGGGAAGCTCGTCCATCTCAGTTTCACCAAAAGCAAGATCTAGGGAAACAAAATCTGTGCTTTCTTGCTGCAGCTGACTCCCAAGTTCAGGCTCTACTGTAAGAATGACAGAAGTACTGGTGGTGCTTGGGAACTGTCATCAAAACTGTATTATGGGGGGAGTGTCTCATATTCTACCAAGCTTATGCTCAGGTCACACATTTGCCAGATAAACCCCAAGAAATTAATCTCTGAACACCAGGACACCCTCCCACAAGCTGGGGAGTCATCAGAGAGGAGCAGGAACAAGGCCAGGGCCAGGCCAGGTTGTGGCCCTGTAAGTGACCTGTCTCTGTGAGGCCCATGGTGGGCAGGGCTGTGGGAGCTAGAGCCTGGCCTTGCTGGGGCAGGGACTGATGGCACTGGAGATGAGACAGGGTCCTGGGCCCTGGGCGTGGTGGCAAAGGGAGACAGCCAGAGCTGGAAGTGCTGTCAGGGCCCTGACAGGCATTTGTTGTCCTCTGGTACAAAGCCAAATCTGGTTCAGGATCCTCGGTGTCACTCAAGGCCTCTGTCCAGGAGGCTTCTCTTTATAAATCGAAGGTGGAAACCTTTTCTTAAACACATGTTTTTCTCCCTATCTATGGGCACTGTTGGTCAGAGGAATGGACTTTCTCTGAACTTTGAACTGCAGCTCCATTACTACAAGGCAGTGTTGATGGTTACTTTAGCGCTGTGTTCCTCTCTGTGTGATGGCAGATGCAAATGTCCGGTCATGATACTGATCTTAATATTTTCAGGAATCATAGAATGGTTTGGGTTGGAAGAGATCACTTAATTCCACCCCACTGACATGGTAAGGGACACCTCCCATCAGACTAGGTTGCCCAAAACCCCATCCAGTCTGGCCTTCAACACCTCCAGGGATGGGGCATCCACAGCTTCTCTGGGCAGCCTGTGCCAGTGCCTCACCACCCTCTGAGTGGAGAATTTCCTCCTAAACTCTAATCTAAATCTCCTCCTTTTAGTTTAAAGACATTCCCCCTTGTTCTGTCATTGTCTGCCAAGCAAAAAGTTGTTCTCTATCCTTTTTTTAAGCCCCCTTTAAGTATTGAAAATCTACAATAAGGTCACCCATGAGCCTTCTCTTCTTCAGGCTGAACAGTCCCAGCTCTCCCAGTCTTTCTTATGAAAATGGTTCCTGTGCTGAGATGGTGGGGTGAACAGCCTTATTTCTTCAAGGGCTTGGTGGGATGCACTGAAGAGAGAAAGGGAATATTTCTCATTTTTGACAGGGAGCTTAGCCATAACTGCAATGCCATTATGTGCTGTATCATTTGCCCTGGACATTAAATATAAACATTTCTAGTAAGCACAGGTCATTTGAGGAGCTTGCTCTCAGAGCAGTCTTCAGTTCTTACTGGTTTCATTAGCCTTTGTGAACATCTTGCTTTCTGTTAGATTTTCCAGTATTAGTCTTCTGCCAAGCTGATCTTGTTTTATGTTAGTTTATAGTCTCAGGCCTGTGGAATTCTCAGTCTTTGTCTAAAACCATCTCAATGCATAGTTATCACAGTGGACTATGCAGAGCAGGGATTCTCTTGTACAAGGAATTAAATCTAGAAGCTGTTGTACCTGGGACTAAAGAAATACTAAAGAGCAATCTTCACTGACGGTCTCTGGCAGGCAATTGCAGTTCTGCTTTCTGTATGTTCTTTTGTTTGCACTGCCAAAGATAGACATCTAGGCAGGAAGGCTACCGTGAATCTGAAGTGAACATGTATGAGCATGCTGATGGATTAATATGTGTGAAAGACACGTGGCTTCTCTTGCAGAAGGAAACACTTCTTTCTTTTTTTCTTCCTCCTGCAACATTGCCTATAATTGATGTGGGAGGAGAGGGGAGAAAGGCTTATATATAAAGTTCCTAGAGCACTGCTCAGTATCCAGTGTGGATTTTCAACACTAATTTTAGACTATTGCTTGCTGAGTTAGAATGTGGGTAGCTGTGTGCACTTAGAAGCCACAGAAGTCCATATGGACAGCAAATAGTCACATTCCAGGAGGGAAATTATGCTGTCCCCCTGCCTTTCCTCATGGAAGAGTGTTAGAATTTTTTCCCTCCACTGCTACCCCACATTCAATCTATTTGTTGTCAACAATATTTGAAGCCACAGTGGACATGGACTTTTGGCTACTGCCGACAATTTTATATTGATGCAGTTAGATGCTCTCCTTGTAAACATTGGCCCATCCAAAGCAGAACTAATGCAACCAATTCTTCTGCTTGCCAATGTACAGATTGTTCCTCAAGTAAAGATCAGTCTTGAGTAGTGGGACATAAATGTCATGCTGTGTTATGATGGCTGGGGAGTAGATCTGAAAATGAAATGCTATCTGAAATTATTTATCCAAAACAGCTCATTTTTTCTGTTAATAATCTTGAGGAGCTACATAATGAATTTGCAAAATGAAAAACATAGTTTAAAAGCATGAACCTTGTTCTTTGGTGCTTTATGCTAATCAGTATAGTTTTAGCAGCCTTTTGTACCATGTGTAGCAAAATTCTGTACTGAAGAGAGAGGTAAGATATTGCTTACGTTTTCATTATGAGAAGGTTATGATAGACTCTTACCTTTACATTAAGTGCATCTTGTATATTTTTAAGAGGGTTGAGAAGGTATGGGAAAGTTGCCTTAAAACTGTTCAATAGCATAATCTTTGCCTGAGTTTATATGTTTAAACAAAGCAGGGCACTTAAAAAATGTGTCCTTCTGTGCTCCTGATTTCCCTCCTGCTACAGGTATTCCTGCTAGACCTAGAACAATGCTACGACTGCTTGATCTTGCTCAGAACTTAGCTACACCAAAAGGCTCATTTCTCACATATTTACTCTCAAATTTACTACCCTTTTGCCTTGGTTACAGCTTCATTATTGCAAATAAGCTCTTAAAATTCCCAAGCTGAAATAATTCTGGGGAGAGCAACTGGGAGTCAGTGAAATTTAGAGGTAGCAATAGGAGAGCATATAAAGGCTCTGCTGAGGACCTTAAAAGAGAATGGTGAAACCTTCAGATACAAATAACATGTCTGTATTACGTCCTGTATGCTGAAGTGCATCTATACATGCATCTGTTTCTTGACTTTTAAACTTCTGTCCATTAACCAGCTGCTTCATTTCTGGCAGAGCCATCTTGGGTCGCAGTACAAACAGTGGGAAAGATTCTACCTCAAGAGAACCCAGCTTTACCTCTGAGCACTTAAAGGAGTGTGTGAGGAGACCACTGGCAAAAATTTAGGGTATGTCGCTGATTTTTGTAGAAGCCTATAAACATGCCCCTGATCTGGTACCAAAACATGAATCGCTTGTCACTGTTTCTGCTGCACTTTTCATTTCCTTTACAAGTAATGTATAAGCATCATCTGAGAAGAAACTGCTGTTGCTTTGTTTCAGTTAGAAGACAAGAGTCAATTTTTATAGGAAAATTCCAACTCTTTGAAATTTATCAACAGAGTGGGTGACAAGTCAGTCTTTGGGAGGAAAAAATAATTATGCCCAAAAATGTGCAGCACTGACATCCTATCACAGATGACTAGTATTATGCAGTCTTTCATAGCTTTTAAAGCATTGCTTGGCTTTGCAATGTGCATGTTTTCCAGGAGTCTAATTTTAAATAACTGTGTTTGTTTTGGTGCTTTAAGTTTTTGTGAGTTCACTCTAGATAGTATCTCCTCACCAACATTCCTGTATACATTGTGGCCACTGTACATATTTAGGTAACAAAAGTCTTTTGAATACAATTTGAAAAATTATCTGATTGTGCTTTAAGAAACCACCCACCTTCCAGAACCTTTGAACTACATGAAACAGAAAAGAACAAATCTTTGACAAGTTGTAATGGTGAAGGTTAATTTTGAAGCAGTATGTGTGTTTACTGCTTCTTAAGGGAGTATCTCGCTGCTTTGCATGCTACTTAGTTGTTTCTGGAGTTGAAGAAACACTGCTTTAAAGGATTAATTTGGCAGGCACTCCTGAGACTTTGGAAGGTAAACAACTGTTTCTTTACTGTCAATACGGCAATTAAGGTCCAGAAGATTAAAAAAAAAGAAAGTAAATGCTGTTTTGGCTCCTACAGTAGACCGATGGCTTAGTGATGCTTTGCATATTTAATGAGGTTCCTTAATGATTCTGGAGCAGCAAAATCCAGATCAGAAGTGAAAACTTGCATATTAGTGGACTGCAGAGTGAGTTATGTGATGTCCAGAGTTAGGCAGGCAGGGTTTGTTACTCTCAAGATTAGTATCAGATTGTTTTGGCAAATGACATTTCCTTCAAATACCAGGGATGTGCTGCAGGTGTCCATCTGTCTGAAGGTTTTCTTCTTTGCCCTCTTGTAATAACCTCCTTACCAAAACTGCCTTCCAGTACTTCTTTTGTGTATAAAGAGAATGAGGAGTCTTCCCAGTGAAGTTATTAAAATTGGTTAAAGCAGCATTACCGCAATTTAAATTGTGAATTTCAGAGATACTGAGGCAGTCCAGAGTGACAAAATCTGTCAATCCCTTTGCAGCCATTAAGACTGATGGGCCGTCTTCATTCTTAGCCGCTTTGTTCACTGCATAATGCACAAAGTAGCCTTAAGTTAGGCCTTAACATCCCTGGTGTTTATTTTTCTCCTAGTCTCTTCTTTTGGATAGCACATTTATCCTTAAGGGGGTGACTGTCATGTGTCTTCAAATATAACTTCAGAGAATTAATTCCACTGTCTTTCTCAAGTGGGTGGGCATTTAGAGGAGGCTTAATTTGAATTTGGAGATTAAAAATATCTAAAATAAATTCAGAATGCTGTATATGTGATACTATAGTTGATGAAGCTGGCAGTGTTACCTGCACATAGTGGGAAGGCAGCTCTCCTTTCGCAATTTTCTTCCCCACCTATCCCACCACCTCAATGCTGTTTCTGCTGTTTCTAATCACAAGTCTGTTTTGCTTCAAAGTTGGAGTAGGAAAGAGATGATCCTTTGAAGAAGCAGAGCAATGGAGAAGCAGGTTTTGAACAAGATCCTAATATGCACCTTAGGGAGCTGTTCATACCTTTATTTTGGCACACCACCACTTCTAAAGTGGCAGTGTTAGTTTCAAGTCCTCTGGATTTTCTTCATGACAAATTCAGGGAGAAATAAGTATGTTTGCTCTACTAGCTAAGTGAGGAATTTAATCCGTTCTGCCTTGCCTTCATTTACCTGCCCTGCTCTATCAATTCTACCACATTGAAGAGCAATTTAAAGAAAGGCTGCCATAGTGCCAGCACAGCTCGGTTGTTTTCCAGAATGGTTGATGGAAAAATAGCTCACACTGCAGAGCTCTCTTCCTATGGAGGTGCAATCTCCTGTCCTAATGGTGATACCACCAGGAAAAAAGTTGGATGTGCACAAGTTAATGGACACAAATTGGATGTATCCAGGACTGCTGAGGGATGCTGTTTATTATCTTGGAAAGGTCGTAGTGACTGGGGGAGGTTTCTGTTAGCTGGATGAAAGCAAACTTCATGATAATTGTGAAAGGAGGAGGATCTGGTGGGCTGCAGGCCTGTCAGCCTCACCTTAATCCCCATCAAGATGATGGAGCAAATCCTCTGCCTTTCAGAGGCTGGAATGGGCTGACAGGGGCCTCCTGTAGCTTTCAGCAGAGCCACATCAGCCATGTCCTGTGACATGTTAGCAGGAGTGAAGGCAGCAATCCTTCCCTTCTCTTTAGCACCAGTGAGACTGCAGCTGGAGCACGATGCCCAGCTGGGGGCATCCCCTCACAGATGCTAAGGTACAGGGGTGAGTCCAGTGATGGGTTGCTGCTGGCTGGGGTGGTGGAGACGGAGTCAGGCTCTGGTGTTACTGGGGTAGCACATGAGAAACAGCACATGTTATGACGTGGGAACTTCAGATGGGTATTAGGAAACATCCTAGCTGTGGCAGGGCTATATGCTCACTGTGTATCCTGACTCTTAGTTATTCTTTTACATTTGGTTCTGCTTGTAAGAGCCAGCTGCTGGGTTAGAAATGCATCCCTCTTTGTTTGGATACTACTGGATATTCTACATACACAGATTTACCTGTGCATTTCTGATTTTACATTTGTGACTTTTTCAGTAAGGTTGAATTAGACACCTGTTTCCCCTTCCCTGCTGATACCCTCCCCCCAAACGTATAACTTTTGTTCTATATCCTTTCTCTCTCTAAAATCCTGCAGAAACTGTGCAGGGTACTCTTTGAACACTGTTTTTTGCAGTTTTTTTTTTTGTTTGTTTGTTTTTTGCATCTTTAATTTCATTTCCAAAATGTTCCCTGGGAGGAATGTTTTGGTTTGGAGCTTTAATCTTTATTTGTATATGTGATTTCTACCAATATAGTTGTGTGAGGAGTGTGATTGTCTTCCCTCTTACCCATTCAACTTTTTATCCACACAGTTAAACTGTTTTCAAAATAATTCCTAGTGGATATATTCTGCCATTCCTGTGTGAGGAATCTTTTATGTGCAGTTTTGCATATTTTAGCTGCACTCACCCTTTTATGGATCCACCTATGTATTTTAACCTTACTGAATTGCTTGGGCTCTTTGGCTGTCACTTGTAGACAAAATCAAAAATGGGATTTATTTTTCCAAATAATTGCTTTTGAAGCAGCAACTTATAGCAACTCTCAAAGTATAGGAACAAAATGGCCACCTATCATCTTCCTTATGTTCATCCATAGGCTTCTTTATTATATTTATTTTTATTTTTTTTTCTTCTTGGAAGTAAAATCTTTGAAGACAAACGTACACCTACATTGTAGCTGTTGGCTACATAAAAACAGTTGTCCTGGACAAATGCTCTTGAAACTGAGATTTTAGTGACCATTAGGAAAGGCAGCTGAGGTTTACAGCCCTGCTTTATTAAGGTGTCACTCTAAAGTGAGTCTAAAAACTCACTTATCTAAAATGTAAAAGACAAGCAGTTAATGAAAGAGGTTGCATCAAGTATGTTATTTCTTTGTGAAGGCACTTATAGAAAAGAATGCACTTGATATTCAAGTGAAGGCACTTACAGAAATAATGTTTGGACTGCTCTGAAAAGACATGAACTTTATTACAAAAAAAAAAAGTTATTGTAAAGCTTGTATACATTAAATCATTTTTTTTTTCCTCATCTGAAGTATCCTGGTTGCACTTATTCTGGGTTCTTTCGACTTAATTGCTCTTCCCAGTGTATAAAGTCACAGTTTGCAATTTCTACTCAAGACCCATGCAGAAACACAACATTCCTTACTTCCCCGTGTGATCCTTGCACTTGGCTGTGTGAAAGCCACTGCACTGGTTCTCTGAAATAGTAATGCTGAAGTGGAAAAGACAGTGACAGTGCAGCAAAGAAAAAGACAAGTCCATGTTTGCCTCCAGTGAAGTGTTCAGAGTGCTTCATTCTGCCCTCTTGGTGTTGATATGCTTTGACTTAACTACCTTTTCCGCTAGTGTTTTCTACATTCCCTATTGGGAAACTACAGCAAAGAGAATCTTTCACATGGTGTGTGAAGATCCAGAAACTCATTATGGTAGCAGCCCCGCAAGGCAGTGCTGGGAATCAAACTGTGAAATTGCAATTCCTGAAGGGCAGTATACAGGGCGACATGTTACTGTAGCTTTCCAATGGACTGAGCCGCCCAGTCATCACAACAAATGATGCTAAATCCCAGCAGCTACCCTGTATTTATTCTGTAATTTATGCTCCAGGGGATATAATCACAGACAAAAATTCCTTAAGAGAAGTTTCCCTGCAAAGTTCAGCCTTATCAGAGCAACAACCTTTCCTTCTATGGGCAGTTAATACAAAGGCAGGGTTGTGGGTTGTTGTTTTCTTATGGTTTTCTTGTCCCCTCCTTCTTTCCCCCATGTCCTTTTGAGTCTTTCAGACCAATAAAGAAAGTAATTTAACTACATTGCAGTTCAGGAAATTGTTGCTTGACATCAATACTTACAGAAACAGATCCTGCAAATAAATGTAGAGAGTTGAATGAGCTCCATACCTATGTATTTGGTGGTAATCCATGCAGGGTGACACGCGACATTGCAGGTGTGTGAAGATGCGTCATGAGCACAACATGTAATGCACATATTTTAAATTCATTTATACATTAATTTGAAACAATGTAAAAAATGTTTCTTATGGGGGTCTCCACCAAACATTAGAAATATTCATAGATTCAAAGAAGAATTAATTATCGAGAAGCTATAAATGATGGGGGGTAAATGTAAAGGTTCAATACCCCTT